TTTCTGATTCTTACATAGTTTTCCATAATATGCGTGGAATGGGTATGCACATTAAAAATTTTAATAAGGCCAGGTGCAGTGGCTCCTGCCTGTAATCTCAGCACTTTGGGAGGCCAAGGCAGGTGGATCACCTGAGGTCAGGAGTTTGAGACCAGCCTGACCAACATGGTGAAACCCCATCTCTGCTAAAAATACAAAAATGAGTTGGGCATGATGGCGCAGGCCTGTAATCCCAGCTCCTCAGGAGGCTGAGGTGGGAGAATTGCTTGAACCCGAGAGGCAGAGGTTGTAGTGAGCTGAGATTATGCCACTGGGTGACAGAGCTATACTTTGTCTCAAAAAAATAAATAGGGCCGGGCACTGTGGCTCATGCCTGTAATCCTAGCACTTTGGGAGGCCGAGGTGGGTGGATCACCTGAGGTCAGGAGTATAAGACCAGCCTGGCCATCATGGTGAAACCCCATCTTAAAAAAGAAAAAAAGCAAATAAACAAATGTTAATAAATATCTACAAGTTGCCAACTATATATGGCTGTACCAATTACAACCTCTTCCATCAGTGTTTCCCTGTATGCTTACCCACACTATCATTGTGGGTTTTTTCTGCCAATTCCTTTGGAGTACATTTTTTTTTTTTTTTTTTTTTTTTTGAGACAGAGTCTCGCTCTGTCACCCGGCACCAGGCTGGAGTGCAGTGGCGCAATCTTGGCTCATTGCAACCTCCACCTCCCAGGTTCAAGCAATTCTCCTGCCTCAGCCTCCTCCGTAGCTGGGACTACAGGCATGGGCCACCACACCCAGCTAATTTTTGTATTTTAGTAGAGACAGGGTCTCACCATGTTGGCCATGATGGTCTCAATCTCTTGACCTTGTGATCCGCCCACCTTGGCCTCCCAAAGTGCTGGGATTACAGGCGTGAGCCACCACGCCCGGCCTTTTTTTTTTTGAGTCTGAGTCTTGTTCTGTTGCCCAGGCTGGAGTGAAGTGGCACGATCTTGGCTCACTGCAACCTCTGCCTCCCAGGGTCAAGCGATTCTCCTGCCTCAGCCTCCCGAGTAGCTGGGATTACAGTTGCCCGCCACTACACCTAGCTAATTTTTGTATTTTTAGTAGAGGCAGGGTTTTACCACGTTGGCCAGTCTGGTCTCAAACTCCTGACTTCAAGTGATTTGCCCGCCTTGGGCTCCCAAAGTGCTGGGATTACACCACACCCGGCCTACTTTACATATTTTTTTATTACTAGTGTGACTATATATGTTTTCCCAACTAGTTCTTACACGTTTAGAGGGCAAGGGCTGAAATTATCTACCATCTTCGTTTCTGCTCACTGAACATTTTGCTGATTTAGTGAATGAATATTGCTAAAGCGTTCCTGCTTTCGTAGGTTTAGGCTAAAGAATGATGGGTTAGCTAAGTGTGTGAAAGGTTAAAGAAAGATGATCTTGCTCCCTGCCTTTGTGCCTTAAATAAGTAAAGAGAGTCTTCCTTAATTTCTTCTCTTCTGTGAGAGCTAAGGTAGGGAAGTAGTTCAGAGTCCAGGCTCTGGAGACACATTTCCTGGGTTCATATCCTAGCTTGGCCTTTTGCTACCTGGGCAGCCAACCTTGGGGCAGTTTACTTAATCTTTGTGTTTCAGTTTCCTCATTCATAAATTAGAGAACATCTCACCTATAGGGTTGTTGTGAAGAATGATGAGGACCTGAAATAAGGGGGTATGATTAGAGGAAAAGCAATTTATTTGAGAGAGAGTTAAGAATAGAACTGTGGGGCTGGGCACAGTTGCTTATGCCTGTAATCCCGGCACTTTGGGAGGCCGAGGCACGTGGATCACAAGGTCAGGAGTTCAAGACTAGCCTGGCCAACATGATGAAACCCCATCTCTACTAAAGATAGAAAAAATTAGCTGGGCACGGTGGCGGGCACCTGTAATCCCAGCTACTTGGGAGGCTGAGGCAGGGGAATCACTTGTACCCGAGAGGTGAAGGTTGCAGTGAGACGAGATCACACCACTGCTCTCCAGCCTGGATGACAGGGCGAGACTCCGTCTCAAAAATAAAAAAGGAATTAGAACCATGAGTGGTAATTGTTAAAGGATTAAAGTATAGTTCAAAGAAAGTTCAGCCTCTGCAGTGTTGTAGAGATGGTATGGAAAGCAAACTCTGAAGGTGGATGAAGTTAAGTACCATATCAAGTCACTTTATAAAAGAAATGATGTTTTTACAGCCAAAAGATAGGGTATAATATCAGAATAAACTAGAGTAATGTAATACCTAATCTATGGTAAGCTCACTACAATCTTCTTTTTTCTTATAGGCTTTTTGAAAATAGGGCCAAAATTAGAAAGTTTCCTGTCAGAGTTTGGAGTAAAATCCAGTTCTTTTTTTGTTTTTATTTTTCGCCCTCAAACATTCTCCCATCCAATAGAATCCACTTCTTGAAAGATACTTTAGTGTTTTTTTTCTGTAGTCATACTGTGCTCTTCACGTCTGATTTTGGCTTATTATTTATAAAGTTTTTTTTTTTTTTTTTTGAGACAGAGTCTCGCTCTGTCGCCCAGCCTGGAGTGCAGTGGCCCAATCTCGGCTCGCTGCAACCTCTGCCTCCCAGGTTCAAGTGATCCTCCTGCCTCAGCCTCCCAAGTGACTGGGATTACAGGCATGCGCCATCATGCCTGGCTAATTTTGTATTTTTAGTAGAAACGGGGTTTTACCTTGTTGGCCAGGCTGATCTCGAACTCCTGACCTCAGGTGATCCACTGCATCAGCCTCCCAAAGTGCTAGGATTACAGGTGTGAGCCACTGTGCCCAGCCTATAAAGTTTTTTTGTTTTTAAATCTAGTGATGTTCTGTCATAACATTTCTGTAATTGTTTGTTCCTTTTTTTTTTTTTTTTTTTTTTTTGAGACAGAGTCTCAGTCACCCAGGCTGGAGTACAGAGGCGAGACTTCCACTCGCTGCAACCTCTGCCTCCTGGGTTCAAGCAATTCTCATGGCACAGTCTCCTAAGTAGCTGGGATTACAGGCGTGCACCACCACATCCAGCTATTTTTTGTATTTTCTTTTCTTTTCTTTTCTTTTTTATTTTTGTATTTTTATTAGAGACAGGGTTTCACTGTGTTGGCCAGGCTGGTCTCGAACTCTCGACCTTAGGTGATCTGCCCGCCTTGGCCTCCCAAAGTGCTGGGATTACAGGTGTGAGCCACTGCATCAAACCACGGTCATGAACGTGTATAAAAAATAGCCAAAAAGAGATTTTACTCTATCTGTTGATTAGACCCAGTTCCTCATACCAAAACAGGCTGAGGTTTAGTGTCCGTAGTTGATCAGTGGCTCTTCAGATATCAAACAGCATGCATAAATCTATATTCTCAACCTCTTAATATGTTAAAAGATTTTAGAATACTGAGCCAAACATGCTACTTCATACTAGAAAAACCTAGGAAAGCAGAACTAGCTAAGGCATTTTAAATTATTTCTTCTCAGCAACTGTCAGAAATGTTTTCAACTCCATTTGATTGAGTTCCACAGATTATCACACACAAAGCTGAGAGACTTAGTCTGAAGTTACAGGCCACAGAGAGAGCATATTTGTGTCTCCAGTTTACAAAAAGAGAAAAGTGGCCAGTTTGCAAATTCATCAGTTGTGCTGCTGTGTCAGGGTCCTACCTAGGTGTGTGAAATGTGAGAAAAACCTGAGACAGGATTTCAGGGCTGAGGATTAGAGTGGCAGGCAGATTGAGGACTACAGTGAGGACAAAGAAAAGGTGAAACAGCCATGGAGAGTCCTTGTAAAGACTTCTTTCCCTTCAGGGCTTCTGTGCTCCCAGGGGATAAAGAAGAAATGTTGAAGGCCGGGTGCTGTGGCTCACGCCTGTAATCCCAGCTCTTAGGGAGGCAGAGGCGGGAGGATAGCTTGAGCCCAGGAGTTGGAGTCCTGCCTGGGCAATATAGCGAGACCCCGTTCTCCACAAAAAGGAAAAAAACAAAAAGACAAAAAAAAAAAAAAGAAATGTTGGGTAAACTTATAAATTAGGTGAAGATTTTTTTTTTTTTTTAGCTTACAAAAAGAGCTTTACTTCAGATGAGGGCGTGGCTTGCCAAATCTCCCATTATTACTGTAATTTTTTCTTCTTTCCACAGCAGTGGTGTCTTATTTAAGAGATTTTTTGGGACTGGAAAAGTGGTGGGGCCTTTTTTCGTTGGATGGCTGGTACATTCTTTCTCATTGATGGTGTGTTATGCTTGTGTTGATGATACTGATGTGGAAAAGATCTTAAGACCCAAGTAGATTCCTAGGCCAAATGTTCGTAGACTCTTTGTGTCCTGCAGGAAGGAAATTGCCTCCCACAGAAGTAGTATTAAGCTAAGAGAATTTCATCTTATAACTGCTAGAACCAGAAGAAAACTTAGGAGTGATCTGTTCTAACTTTCTTATTTTATAGTTGGAGAAACTGAAATTCACAAAGAATGAGGAACTTGTTGAAATGTACATAGCTTCTTAAATTGGCAAGTCTAGAATCTTTTGTCTTCTATTCCTGGCACGGTGTTCTTTCCATGATACCATTTTAATTGTTAAAACAAATTTTAAATTAGACCACAATTATAATAGTAGGTCTTGAGAGGATTTAAGAAGAAGCACTTGAATATTTTTGTAGCATGTGGATATATAATAAATATTAGGAATGATAGCATTTGAGGAAAAAATTAGAGAATAAAGGGAAAAAAGGTTGTGTTTATATTTTAAATTGGAGCCTATTTTTCAACTTCACAGTACCAAATTAATTAAAACTGTTATGTAAATGTTTGTCTTTTTCAGTTATAACTTGTTCACAATGTGTTGGGGGGTGTTTATGCACACATGCACTTAAACTTCATCACGAAGATGAAATAGAGTATCAGTTCTGGGAATCAAGCTTATACTAAACTTGGGTGACTCCCTAAGTTGCATCCATCACACTGGAGTGAGAATTGACTTGCATGCTATTGCTTTTGGTTTCTGCAGGTTTTATAGTGCATCCCTGAGCATGAGCGCAGAATGAAGCGGCGTTTGGATGACCAGGAGTCACCGGTGTATGCAACCCAGCAGCGTCGGATCCCTGGCAGCACAGAGGCTTTTCCTCATCAGCACCGGGTGCTTGCCCCCGCCCCTCCTGTGTATGAAGCAGTGTCAGAGACCATGCAGTCAGCCACGGGAATTCAGTACTCTGTAACACCCAGCTACCAGGTAAGCTGGAGCCAACCAAGGGACTAGAATGAGGGGGGAGGAATAATTTTAGACAATTAGAAAACATTTTTAAATGCTGAATTAGATATTAAAAAATTGTGGAGTATGTGTAAGGTTAAAAAAAAAAATTTGGCCGGGCGCGGTGGCTCAAGCCTGTAATCCCAGCACTTTGGGAGGCTGAGGCGAGTGGATCACGAGGTCGAGAGATCGAGACCATCCTGGTCAATGTGGTGAAACCCCGTCTCTACTAAAAATACAAAAAATTAGCTGGGCATGGTGGCGCGTGCCTGTAGTCCCAGCTACTCAGGAGGCTGAGGCAGGAGAATTGCCAGAACCCAGAAGGCGGAGGTTGCGGTGAGCCGAGATCGCGCCATTGCACTCCAGCCTGGGTGAAACTCCGTCTCAAAAAAAAAAAAAAAAAAAACAAACTCTAACATAATTGTTTAGTTTTGGTATTTTTGAACTTTCATATAAATGGAAACATTTTCTTCTTTGCACTTTCTTTTTTTTTTTTTTTTTTTTTTTTGAGACAAAGTTTTCGCTCTTGTTGCCCAGGCTGGAGTGCAATGGCGCGATCTCGGCTCACCGCAACCTCCGCCTCCTGGGTTCCGGCAATTCTCCTGCCTCAGCCTCCTGAGTAGCTGGGATTATAGGCACGCGCCACCATGCCCAGCTAATTTTTTTTTTGTATTTTTAGTAGAGACGGGTTTCACCATGTTGACGAGGATGGTCTCGATCTCTTGACCTCGTGATCCACCCGCCTCGGCCTCCCAAAGTGCTGGGATTACAGGCGTGAGCCGCCACGCCCGGCTGCACTTTATTTTTTAAACTCCATATTTTTATAGATAGCTGTGATAACATTATTTTTACTCTGGTATGAATTAGATGCATGTACTCAATTTATTTGTCGGTTCTACTGTTGGACTACTGGGCCATTTTCAGGTTTTTGCTTTTACAGAGGTGCCGCCATGAACATTCTCATGTTCTCTTAGTGCACTCGGTGGCAATTAATGACAAAATAAGAAGCTCGTGCCAGAATTTAAATCATCACACTTACTAAGAGAGTTTTGCTGTTTATTTTTTAAAAATCATTGAAGGGCAGCAAAAAGTAATTTTAATTTTAAGAAGTAAAATAAAAGGCAGCTGAATTAAACATCATTATAGAGAAATATGGCTGACTCTTGGATAGTGTGAGGATTGATGCACTGACCCCCCGCCCCCAACCCCATGCAGTCAAAAATACATGTATAACTTTTTTCTTTCTTTCTTTCTTTCTTTTTTTTTTTCTCTAAGAGATAGGGTCTTGTTCCGTGGCCCCTGGTGGAATGCAGTGGTATGATCATGGCTCACTGCAGCTTCAAACTCTTAGGCTCAAGCAGTCCTCCCATGCCCCAGCCTCCCTAGTAGCTGGGACTACAGGTGCCCACCATCATGCCTGGCTAATTTTTAAGATTTTTGTAGAGATGAGGTCTTGCTGTATTGCCCAGGGTGGTCCTAAATCTTGGCCCCAAGTTATCCCCCCCGGTCAGCCTCCCAAAGAGCTGAGATTACAAGTCTGAGCTACTGCATCCAGCCCTTATATAATTTTTGACTCCCCCAGAATTTAAATACAAATAGCCTATTGTTGACCAGAAGCTTTACCGATAACATAAATGGTTGGTTAGCATGTCTTCTGTATATTTGTCATATACTGTATTCTTACAATAATCTAAAGGAAAGAAAATATTAAGAAAATCATAAGTAAGAGAAAATATATCTACTATTCATTAAGTGGAAATAGATCATCATAAAGATCTTCATCCTTGTCTTCACGTTGAGTAGGCTGAGGAGGAGGGAGGAGGAAGATGAAGGATTAGTCTGGCCATCTCACGGGTGTCAGAGGTGGGAGAAAATTCACGTATAAGTGAACTTGTGTTGTTGCTGGGTGCGGTGGCTCGCACCCATCATCCCAACACTTGGGGAAGTTGGAAGCATGAGGATTTTCTGAGCCCAGGAGTTAGAGACCAGCCTGGGCAGCATAAGCAAGACCCTCTGTCTCCTAAAAATAAACAAAGATTAGCAGGACATAGTGGTGCACACTTGTGTGCCTAGCTTCTTGGAAGGCTGCAGTGAATTTGCTACCACACCCCCAGCATGGGTGACAGTGTGAACTTGTCTGAAAAAGAAAGAAAGAATTAATTAATTAATTAATTAGAAAAATAAAAACAAAAAACTAGCCCGGCATGGTGGTGTGCATCTGTAGTCCTAACTACCTGGGAGACTGAGGTGAGAGGATTGCTCAAGCCCAAGAAGTCAAGGCTGCAGTAAGCTATGATCAAGCCACTATAGTTCATACTACAGTGCAAGACCCTGTCTCTTTAAAAAGAAAACAAAACCCATGTTTTTCAATGGTCAGCCATAGCTGGTTTACATTATGGTGCAAACTCCTTATCCTGTTGCAAACCAGTCAGCAGGTCTGAGGACATAGAGGAGTTTCTCAAGTACCTATGAAAGGGATTGCTGGGGCACAGGGTATATGTATCGTTAGTGAGTACTGCCAAATTGCTTTTAGAAGGTATACCACTTTAAATTCCCCCAAGCATTGCATATTTCTGTTATTCTATGTCCTGACCAACACCTATCATTCTTCTTTTACTCTGTTTTGTAGAAGTAAAGAATTTGGGTTTTGCCCATTTTTATTACAAAAGTAATATATCACTTTGGTTTTTAAAAATTATTTCATTTTTATTTTTATTTTTTTGGGACGGAGTTTTGCTCTTACCTCCCAGGCTGTGGTACAATCTCGGTTCACTGCAGCCTCCACCTCCCAGATTCAAGCGATTCTCCTGCTTCAGCCTCCCAAGTAGCTGGGATTACAGGTGCCCGCTGCCACACCTGGCTAATTTTTTGTATTTTTAATAGAGGTGGGGTTTCACCATGTTGGTCAGGCTGGTCTCGAACTCCTGACTTCAGGTCATCTGCCCCTCTTGGCCTCCCAAAGTGTTGGGATTACAGGCGTGAGCCACGGTGTCTGGCCTATTTTATTTTATTTTACTTTATTTTTTAAGATAGGATCTTGGTCTGTTGCCCAGGTTGGAATGCAGTGGTGTGATCTCAGCTCACTGCAGCCTCCACCTCCTGGGTTGAAGCGATTCTCCTGCCTCAGCCTCCCAAGTAGCTGGGATTACAGGCACCACCATACCCAGCTAATTTTTGTATTTTTAGTAGAGACAGGGTTTCACCATGCTGGCCAGTCTGGTCTCAAACTCCTGACCAGGCTGGTCTCGAACTCCTGACCTCAGGTAATCTGCCTGCCTCTACCTTCCAAAGTGCTAGAATTATGGGCATGAGCCACTGCACCCGGCCTTACTTTATTTTTTGAGATGGAGTCTTGCTCTGTTGCCTGGACTGGAGTGCAGTGGCACAAGTTTGGCTCACTACAACGTCTGCCTCCCAGGTTCAAGTGACTCTTGCATCTCAGCCTCTCAAGTAGCTGAGATTACAGGTGCATGCCACTACGCCCAGCTAATTTTTGTTTTTTTTTTTTGACATGGAATCTCACTCTATGGCTCACTGCAACCTCTGCCTCCCAGGTTCAGGTGATTCTCCTGCCTCAGCCTCCTGAGTAGCTGGGATTACAGGCGCCCACCACCATGCCTGGTTAATTTTTTTTTTGTATTTTTAGTAGAGACGGGGTTTCGCCATGTTGGTCAGGCTGGTCTCGAACTCCTGACCTCATGATCCCGCCACCTCGGCCTCCCAAAGTGCTGGGATTACAGGCGTGAGCCACCGTGCCCAGCCTAATTTTTGTATTTTTAATAGAGATGGGGTTTTGCCATGTTGGCCAGGCTGGGTTTGAACTCCTGGTTTCAAGTGATCTGCCCACCTTGGCCTCCCAAAGTGCTGGTATTACAGATGTGAACCACTGCACCTGGCCATACTTAAGTGTTTTTTTTAAAAGAAAGGACAGGCCGGGCGCGGTGGCTCAAGCCTGTAATCCCAGCACTTTGGGAGGCCGAGGCGGGTGGATCACGAGGTCAAGAGATCAAGACCATCCTGGTCAACATGGTGAAACCCCGTCTCTACTAAAAATACAAAAAATTAGCGGGGCATGTTGGTGAGTGCCTATAATCCCAGCTACTCAGGAGGTTGAGGCAGGAGAATTGCCTGAACCCAGGAGGCGGAGGTTGGGGTGAGCTGAGATCGCACCATTGCACTCCAGCCTGGGTAACAAGAGTGAAACTCCGTCTCAAAAATAAAAATAAAAATAAAAGAAAGGATAGAAAGTCACTTTTTCTCTCTTACCCCTTGGATTTTCTCCCACTGGTGAATTTCTTGGGCATCCAGTTTTGTTATCTGTATCAACCTATATAGCTATCTAAATTCACTTTTTTTTTTTTTTTTTTTTTTTTTTTTTTTTTTTTTGAGACAATGTCACACTCTTGCACAGGCTGGAATGCCATGGCATGATCCTGGCTCACTGCAACCTTCACCTTCTGGGCTCAAGCAGTCCTCCCACGCCACCATACCTGGCTAATTTTTGTGTATTTTGTAGAGAGAGCATTTCACCATGTTGCCCAGGCTGGTTTAGAACTCCTAGACTCAAGTGATCTGCCTGCCTTGGCCTCCCGGAGTGCTGGGATTACAGGCATGAGCCACTGTGGCTGGCCTTTCCACTTTTTTAGGGTACAATTTGGATCGTACAGTACATACTGTTCTGCTGTTTACTCTTTTTATTTAACATATAGTGGATGTTTTATTACTTAAACGTATAGCTGGTCTGGAGAGGCCTTCAACCTCACTTGTTAGTGACCTTAAAAAGGTGTGGCTGGTACTGGGAGTATAAACTGAGGTAATCTTATTTGAGAGTGATTTGGCAGTTTGTGTCAGATTCTTTTGTTACTTTTTGATCTGACAATTCCATTTCTAGTAATTTAGTATAAAAATACAAATAGGGAAATGCAGTTGAAGTAGGAAATGGTCATTCCTTAGGTGTCAGTCTTCCTCAGGGGTCCCCTTGAAGCATTCGAATGCCTTCCTGTGGGGCTGGGGCAGGGCTCAGAAGACTACTAACAGATGGCATTTTTTAGGACTTGGAAGGAAAAAAAGTTGTTTTTCCTTGGGTGATTACTTTAATTATCCAGACAGGTTAATGACTATTTCCTACATGTGAGATAATTACATTTTTTCCGTGTGGAGACTGTATGTGCTTGTATAAAACTAACCATCTAAAACTCCAAGTCAGTTTTGTAAAAGCCTATAAACCCTGTATACATGCTGGAATATAGAAACTCAGAATAATAGCCCATCTTGAGGTATATTAGAGCTTTTAGAATTGTCTAAATAGTTTCTTTTAATATGCCTTGCATTGTTTCTGTAGATTTATGCATAGTCGCTCAGTTTCTCCCTCTCCCTCATTTCTTCGTCTCCCTTCAGGATAATTGTTATAAGGATTTGAAAACAGTTTTATTCTCTCTTAAATTGTGGTGTAAAATTTAACATTGCTTAGAGAAAGAAAGTTTCATGTTATTTAGTCTCCTTATTTTGGGAATGGGGCACTTGGGCATTTGGACAGATTGTTATTTGAACAGATTGTTGTTTTCCATAGTGATCAACAGGTCTGAAAAAGGGGGGAAAAAAAGCTCTGAAATTTTTTGTAGCATTTCTTGCAATAGATATAGAAGGAAGGTGGGTGTGGCTTTTATTTCCTCAGACTTAAGAAAAAAATTGAGATAAAGGAATAGAAAAGACATTTGTGGCCGGGCGCGGTGGCTCAAGCCTGTAATCCCAGCACTTTGGGAGGCCAAGGCGGGCGGATCACAAGGTCAAGAGATCGAGACCATCCTGGTCAACATGGTGAAACCCCATCTCTACTAAAAAAAAAATTAGCTGGGCATGGTGGCGCATGCCTGTAATCCCAGCTACTCAGGAGGCTGAGGCAGGAGAATTGCCTGAACCCAGGGGGCGGAGGTTGCGGTGAGCCGAGATCGCACCATTGCACTCCAGCCTGGGTAACAAGAGCGAAACTCGTCTCACAAAAAAAAAAAAAAAAAAAAAAAAAAAAAAAAAAAAGACATTTGTTTGAGGCCAAACCACCAACAATTTGGATAAAAAAATATTTTATATTAGATATAACGCTTGTAGCAAACTAAGATAAGCAAAATAAAATAGGCCAGGCGTAGTGGCTCACACTTGTAATCCCAGCACTTTGGAGTCCAGAGCAGATGAATCATTTGAGGTCAGGAGTTCGAGACCAGCCTGACCAACATGGTGAAACCATATCTCTACTAAAAACACTATAAAAATAGAAAGAAACAAAATAAAAATCATCTTTAATTTTGTAGCCACAAGATTACATGCAACATTTTGTTAAGTATCAGTTGTCTAGGGTTTAAAATCTTTTTATCATACTGCTTTGTAATGTGCTTTTATTTATTCATTTATTTATTTGAGACAGGGTCTTGCTCTGTCACCCGGTGTAATGTGCTTAAAAAAATTATTTAAAAGTTTAAGTCAATATACAGTACACGAATACATTCAACTTGTGGATTATGGACATTTTTTTCAGGTTAAAATATATTCATCTGTATCACTGCTGTTGAAAGTGTGGCTTACAAATGATAATCTGTATCCTTTGTTTCTAGTCTTTAATTACTTAAGCATAGAAATTCAGAGTGTTTGGAAACAATTCTAGCAATTGGACATTACTTTTTATTTTTAAAATCCAGTAATGAAAGTTACACAGTGGCTTATGCCTGTACCCGGCACTGTGAGGGACCAAGGCAGGTGAACTGCATGCCCAAGAGTTTGAGACCACCCTGGGTAACATGATGAAACCCTGTTTCTACAAAAAGTACAATTTAACCAGGCATGGTGGTATGTGCCTGTAGTCCCAGCTGCTCAGAAGGCTGGGGTGGGAGGATCATTTGAACCTGGGGAGGTCGAGGCTGCAGTCAGCCATAATTGTACCATGCACTCCAGCCTGGGTGAGAGGGTAGGACCCCATCTCAATTAAAAAAAAAAAAAAAAAGGGCCGGGCGCGGTGGCTCAAGCCTGTAATCCCAGCACTTTGGGAGGCCGAGGCGGGTGGATCACGAGGTCAAGAGATCGAGACCATCCTCGTCAACATGGTGAAACCCCGTCTCTACTAAAAATACAAAAAATTTGCTGGGCATGGTGGCGCGTTCCTGTAATCCCAGCTACTCAGGAGGCTGAGGCAGAATTGTCTGAACCCAAGAGACGGAGGTTGCGGTGAGCCGAGATCGTGCCATTGCACTCCAGCCTGGGTAACAAGAGTGAAACTCCATCTCAAAAAAAAAAAAAAAAAAAAAGAAAGAAAGAAAAGAAAATTATGGGTTTATGTATTTTTTATTTCACTTTCACAGTAATTTATTTTTATTCGATTTTTATAAAAGCTGTGGTCCTTGATAGATTGGGAATTTTAAGAAAAAACCTATACCCCAGATAGTTTGAGATAAACTATAATTTTTCTTCCTTCCTTTTGGAGACAGAGTCTTGCTCTTTTTGTCTAGGCTGGAATGCAGTGGTGCCATCTCAGCTCACTGCAAGTTCCACCTCCCAGCTTTAAGTGATTGTCGTGCCTCAGCTTCCCCGTAGCTGGGATTACAGATATGTGTCACCACATTCGGCTAATGTTTTTGGTATTTTTAGTAGAGATGGGTCTCCTCATGTTGGCCAGGCTGGTCTTAAGCTCCTGGACTCAAGTGATTTGCCTGCCTTGGCCTCCCAAAGTGGTGGTTATAGGCGTGAGCCACTGTGCCCAGCTAAACTATGCAATTTTTAATAGCTACAAATAATTGTATTATATAACATGGGTGGGTTGTAATTTATTATTTCACCAGTTCCTTTTGTGGAAAGTTTGGGTTTCTTTTTCTTTCTTTTCCTTTTTTTTTTTTTTTGAAATAGGATCTCACTTTGTCACCCAGGCTAGAGAGCAGTGGCGTGATCACAGCTCATTGCAGACTTGAACTCCTGGACTCAAGCAGTTCTCCTTTACCTCTAGAGTAGGTGTGACCACAGGTGCATGTCACCACGACTGGCCAATTTTTTTATTTTTTGTGGAGATGTTGTCTCACTATGTTGCCCAGGCTGTCTTTTCTCTTTTTAGAGACACAGTCTCACTCTGTGGTCCAAGCTGGAGTGCCATGGTATGATCATAGCTCACTGCAGCCTTGAACTCCTGAGTTCAGGTGATCTTCCCATGTAGGTGAGATAGGTGTGAGCCGTCACACCCAGCAGAAATTTGGGTTACCAGTTAATTATCTTTGTGCATTTGTGTTAGTTCTCTAGACATATTTGGGGAAGAATGTACAAGCCTTGAAGTTTCTTGTCTGTTTTTTTGTTCACCACAGGTTTCAGCCGTGCCACAGAGCTCCGGCAGTCATGGGCCCACCATAGCAGCAGTTCATAGCAGCCATCATCACCCAACAGCTGTGCAGCCCCACGGAGGCCAGGTGGTCCAGAGTCATGCTCATCCAGCCCCACCAGTTGCACCAGTGCAGGGACAGCAGCAGTTTCAGAGGCTGAAGGTGGTATTCGGCTCCTTTTCTTGAGTCAAAAAGTTTATCTTTAGCAGGAAATATTGGATGTAGCTTATCGGTTGTGGTGGTATGACTTTTAACCTGAGATACTAGGTATTGAATCTCAAGTTTTACCTTGTTTTTGCTTTGTGAAATTTGCTTACGTTTCCTATCTTGGCACCAGTGCCTGATCCAGAGAAGAATATACTCAGATGTTTGTGGACTGTATGAATGCATGTCATATAAATGATATCAGGATTGAGGGGCCATTTTCATACAAAATAAACCTTAAAATCCATTTTTTGGCTGCTTCCTTTTGAACTCTTTATTGAGCACACTTGTAGTTGGCTACAGGTTTGTACAGTAAATTGGCCCAGTAACATGTTTTACAGTTATTGAATCTTTTCTTTTTTTTTGAGACAGAGTCTCTCTGTCACCCAGGCTGGAGTGCAATGGCGTGATCTTGGCTCACTGCAACCCATACCTTCCAAGTTCAAGCCATTCTTCAGTCTCAGCTTCCTGAGTAGTTGGGATTATAGGTGCATGCTGCCATGCCTGGCTAATTTTTTGTATTTTTTTTTTTTAGTAGAGATGGGGTTTCACCGTGTTCCCCAGGCTGGTCTTGAACTCCTGAACTCAGGCAATCCACCCGCCTTGATCTCCCAAAGTGGTAGGATTACGGGCGTTAGCCGCTGTGCCCAGCCACGGTTTAAACTTTTTAAATTCTTTTTAATTAAAAAAAAAATTTATAGAGATGGTGTCTCACTATGTTGCCCAGGCTGGTCTCAAACTCCTGGCCTCAAGTGATCCTTCTATCTTGGCCTTCTAAAATGTTGGGATTACAGGTGTGAACCACCATGCACAGTTCATGCCTGTAACGTTTTATTACCTTCATCTTTTTATTCCTATTTATGAATAGCTGAACTGACTCACATCATCAGGTCCATCCTTAGTAAAACACATGTTCCTTTTGTGGGGAATCTTTATAAAGTTTGGGGATAACTATATAACTGTGAATGAATTACCAGTATTTTCTTATTTCCTGCTGAGTATGTGTGGTAAGTTACCAGTGCTTTGCAATTCTTGAGGCACCTGTGGAGAAGTGAAGCTTGTGTTCTTAGCTAAGCTTGTGTCTCTGACCACTTGAATGTTACTTTTCAAAATGTATGATTGTTGTAGCAAGTGTTAAGGTTTCAATTTTTCTGATTTTACGTTTATATAAAATCGAGTTCAGGAAATAATAAATGGGGAGGAGGAACTCTGAAGTGATGTTAAATCTTCGTTTGGTTATAGTAGCCTACTTAAGTTGCTTGCAGGCAGGAATGAGCAATAAACCCTTGAAGGACACATCCATATGCAGCAATAGATCTATCTTCTGTTTTCCCTGATACTTATTTAGTTCTTCTTGATCCCTGCCCTCATTGGTGTGGACTCTTGGGAACTTGTTTAATATTGGCCTAAGGACATTAAATGCCACATAAATATTATAAAGTACAGCAAAGCTAAGTGATTTAGAGGAATTTTGTAAAATGTACTCTCTATATTGTCTTTATTGACTAATGCATGGTCTTTAAAGAGAGTACAGATTTTTTAGGCCTGAAGCTTTACTGTGGATTCTGTCTTTGGGAAAATGTCTATAGGGAATATTGTCTATAAGGAATTTTTTAAGATTTTCCTTTAAAAATTTCACTCTCTTGTAAAGTGATGGCTGTGTACCAAAACGTATTTTTGCTGTGGGAGTAGCACTTTACTAACTCCTGAAAATACGTATTTTCTTTAAACTTGGTTTCAAGTGCTTTAATTCTCTATTAACACTATATATTGAGTGGTTACACTTTAATGTTGCAAAATAGCTTATAAACTTGGTATTAAACTAACAAAAACATTTATTTCTATAGCTTTTTTCAATCAACTCTCAAAGCACAACATCAGTTTTTAACTTCCTCACAGGAGTCTTTGGTATAAGTATGTGGAATATGCTTCATTTGTTTTATGGAAACTGTCAAGGAGACAAGGGAGGGTTCTGGATTTGGGGTCATAGAGTGAGTCGTGGATAGAGTTCGGATTTCTTCCTGTGTTCTTTTAGTCACAAGGTCTTGACTATATTCCTACATAAAATAACTTGTTGAATTTCCTTTCTAATGTGGAGAGGTAAATGCTTCTTGTACCTCCACATAATTTAACTAAGTATTCCCACATTGCCTGCCATTTTTGGATCAGTCATAAAATGCATTACAGGCATTTAAATCAACTTCAATAAATCATTTATATTCTCTAGTAAGGTAACATTCAAGCTAGGCATGGTGGCTGACACCTGTAATCCCAGCACTTTGGGAGGCCAAGGCAGGTGGATCACCAGGGGTCGGGAGTTCAAGACCAGCCTGACCAACATGGTGAAATCACATCTCTACTAAAAATACAAAATGAGCCAGGCGTGGTGGCACATGTTTGTAATCCCAGCTACTCAGGAGGCTGAGGCAGGAGAATCATTTGAAACCAGGAGGCAGAGGTTGCAGTGAGCCAAGATCATAGCACTGCATTCAAGTCTGGGCAACAAGAGTGAAACTCTGTCTCAAAAAAAGAAAAAGAAAAAAGGAAATGTTCAGTGAGAATGCTTACACATTATATCAAGCCTCAACATTGTCCTTTGTTTGTTTGTTTTTCATAGATTGGTGGTGACAAGAAGGGATTTGAGCAATTTGAGGCACGATTGGTGATATTTAGTTATTTATTGAATGTCAGCCACAGTGATATTTGGTACATATTTAGCAAGTTCTCTTTACAGTTGCTTGTGTGTTTCTCTCCAACAAGATTGTAGACTTCAGGAGGTTCAGGGCCTTAACTTAAAACTAAATTCCTGTTGAAGTGAGCTAAGAAACTTGATTAGCAGAGTCTAAGGCTCTCCGCAAGTTCTTCCTTAAATTGGTAGCTTCTGAATGACAATATCAAAAAAAAATTTTTTTTTATAAAGTTGTGCTTCCTAGAACTGTATACATGCATTTATAGAGAGTTTATTTAAGAGTTGGACTATGCTTTAGGTGATGAGAGAATTTCCTCACTGTTCTTGCATGTAGGTGTCTTACTTATGTGAGTGTCATGCAGGGTTTTTTATTCTATAACTAATTTTTATTTTACTTTTTTTTTTGAGACAGAATCTCACACTGTTGCCCAGGCTGGAGTGCAGTGGTGCAATCTCAACTCAGTGCAACCTCCCCAGCCTGGGTTCAAGTGATTTTTGTGCCTCAGTCTCCCAAATAGCTGGGATTACAGGCATGCGCCACCATGCCTGCCTAATTTTGGTATTATTATTATTTTTCTTTTTTTAGTAGGGATGGGGTTTGCCATGTTAGCCAGGCCGCTCTCAAACTCCTGGCCTCAAGGGATCCACCCTCCTTGGCCTCCAAAAGTCCTTGGATTACAGGCATGAGCCACTGTGCCCAGCCTATAACTAATTTTTAAACAGTGGTTTGCTGTGACTTTCAGTACCTTTTTCTTTCAGACATACATGTATCACACATAAATGCTTTCTTTTGTTTTCTGTACTTTTCCCCTCTCTGCAGTGGTTACCTTATACCATGTCTTATTGATAACTCTTAAAGATGCATGCCATTCTTAAATATCTTCCAAAATCTTGGTTCCTTTTGCAAACTTAATGCATTTTGTGTTCACTTAAGTTGGTCATTTATTAATGAAACATTACGGTATGGTAAGTTTAGAATATGAATTAAACAGTCCATTGAATTTCAGCAGAAATTATCATGATATTTGTATAGAAAAACTAACCATCAAACAAGTGGGTATTGAAACCATCTGATTTCTAGCAACACTGAAACACTGATTAACCATGGCCATAATGGAAGGCCATAATGGAAGGCCATAATGGAAGTCTGAAGAACTCTCAAAAGAGCTATTTGTCTTAATCCATTAGTGAGACTGAGTAATCTCTTTCTAAATAATAAAAGTTTATTTCTCACAGTTCTAGAGATGTTCCAGGGGCTGGGAAGTCTAAAATTAAGGTGCTGGCTGGGATTACACCTGTAATCCCAGCACTTTGGGAGGCTGAGGCGGGCAGATCACTTGAGGTCAGGAGTTCAAGACTAGCCTGCCCAACAGGGTGAAACCCCATCTCTACTAAAAATACAAAAAAAATAGCCGTATGAGGTGACATGCACCTGTAATCCCAGCTACTCGGGAGGCTGAGATGGGAGAACAACCCAGGAGGCAGAAGTTGCAGTGAGTCAAGATTGTTCCATTGCACTCCAGCCTGGGAGACAAAGTGAGACTCTGTCTCAAACAAAAGAGAAAGAGTGGCTTATATCACATCAAATGTTTATTTCTGAGATTTCTTATGCCTGATATTTTGTATAATTTGAAACATTTAGACTTCAATTAAACCACCAAAAAAACCTTATTCATCTCAGAGTATATAGGAAACACCTAGTGGGCATTTCCTTTGGGTGTCAAACTTTATTAAAGTACTTTCCACACACAATCATGGTATTTCAGGCAGGACATGGACAGACAATCCTTAACAATGAGCTACCAAAAAAACAAAAATCCACTATAAAACTCAATGAAGTCTTCATGTGATGCTCTGAACAGGGCAAGTTTAGAGTGAAAGTTGACATTTCACATTTAGCACCTTGTTTAACAACTTGTCATGAGCCGACCCTGATTTCAGGAAGTAAAATGAAAATGGCAGGATTTATCTGAAGATCCACAGTCTGGAAAAGGAACCACTGCTCTTTTGAGGGCTGCCATCTCAGTGGCATCACTGGAAAGTTTGATTGCCTGACACACTGGTAACCAGTTATTGGGGGTTAGGTCCAAATAGACATCTGAGCATAAGAGAGTTAAGTCTATGCTGAAGGTGGGAAGGGAGAACAGGACATAAAAATGAATTTGGTTTTCCCTCCCACAAGGTGTTTGTGCCAAGGTGGCCATGTGTGTCAAAAGTCAGGGAATCCAGGCCAGGTGTGGTGGCCCACACCTATAATCCCAGGACTTCGGGACGCTATCTCTACGAAAAATACAAAACTTAGCTAGGTGTGATGACAGGCGCCTGTAATCCCAGCTACTTGGGAGGCTGAGGCAAGAAAGTCACTTGAACCCGGGAGGCAGAGGTTACATTTAGCTGACATCACGCCACTGCACTCCAGCCTGGGCAACAAGAGCAAAACTCTTTCTCAAAAATAATAAATAAATAAAATTAGGGAATCTCTTCTGTAAGCCAAGAGGAAGTCTCTCAAAACTAGAAGGGAAAGATGTTTTCCCCACATCAATCCAGCTTCAAAGACACACTGTTAGTGACCTGTGATCCTTCCCTCCAAAACACCAATGCAATGTTCTGTGTGCTAACAACATGGCATTTAAAAAAAAGCAAAACTCCTAGGCCGGGCGCGGTGGCTCACGCCTGTAATCCCAGCACTTTGGGAGGCCGAGGCGGGTGAATCACGAGGCCCATAGATCGAGACCATCCTGGTCAACATGGTGAAACCCCGTCTCTACTAAAAATACAAAAAATTAGCTGGGTGGGCATGGTGGCACGTGCCTGTAGTCCCAGCTACTCAGGAGGCTGAGGCAGGAGAATTGTTTGAACCCAGGAGGCGGAGGTTGCGGTGAGCCGAGATCGCGCCATTGCACTCCAGCCTGGGTAACGAGCAAAACTCCATCTCAAAAAAAAAAAAAAAAAAAAAGCAAAACTCTGCATTTTTATAAAGCTTGATTTAAACAATGGTATTTCAAAATTTACACACTTCATAATTATAGTTCAAACTTTCCAGTTACCAGAAGTGCAGTTACCAAAAATGCACACATTTCACTTGGCTTCTCCAGCACCTTCAGCTTTCTGTGCCTGGTCTGTTTTGGCATCTCCATTTTCTGCAAGGTTATTTTCCCTCCCTGTCAGTGTCAGCATTTTCTTTTTTCTCTTTGGGTACCTCTTCTCTCTTTGTGCGGGGCCTTTTTAGGGTTGGGCTAGGGCTTTGAAGGATCAGGTTTAGCAGACAACCTTGCGGATGTTCTCTGGTTCATTCTTCACCTTGTCTCCATCTCCTTCAGCATCCCCTTCAGGCTTTCTCTTGGCGTTGATGCAGCGGGATGTAAGCACTGGGTGCGGGGTGTAGCGTGTGCTGGCTTTGATCAGTCCGGGAGTCACTCTCACCCCTTCTTCCTCACACTGCTCTGTGGTGGATCACTTTTGAATGCTGGCTCTCCCTTAGCTCCGGTATTCATTCAGTTCCCCAATCCTGTTACTTCTGCTGGCCAAAAAGCTTTTTATCTGTGCACTTCTCTGTTGTTCTGGGCCAGTACTATAATTCAAGCCACTGTTTCCACATGAGTTGTCTAGTTATTCCTGTAGCATAACTGGTCTTCCTACCTTCTTTCAATCTTTTCTGCTCCTCTGCCAATTTTTTTCTCAAAACACTGAAGTCAAATTGAGTACACAAAAATGCAGATGATAAAAATGTAAATTGCTTTTTCACAAGATTCACAAGTCCTTTCAGAATGTAGATACTTTTTTTTGTCTCATCTCTTGTTACTCTTCCTTCCAGTACTCTTCACTATAGATCCTCCAGCCGAACCAGACTCTTTTCAGATTTCAAATACCTCATATGGTATCCTGTCTAGGATTTTGCCCATGCTGCTTTCTTTGATTTTCTTCACTGGTCTTCACTTTTGCTAGCTTATACTCATCTTTAGGTCTCAGTTTACACATTATCTCCTAGGAAGGCCTCACTTATTTTGGTGGGGAAGACATGTCCTTCCCATGTCATCTCCAGGCATTGAGTGATTACCACGTTGCCCACTGTGTTATGGTTCCCAACTAGATATGAACAAATGTCTATAGACAAGGGGGCTACAGATTATTTGTCATTGAATCCTTGGTACCCTCTTTGGGCCATGCATGTTGTATTTTGGTAGATGCTTGTGTAATGAATCAATGATATGTCAGTTATTCTGCACTGATCATTCTGTTCAAAATTATCCAAACAAGGCTACAGATTTTATGAGTATGTTAAGCTTGAGTTTATAATTGGCATCCATACTAACTTTTAAGTATATGTTTAAGACGTTTTTATTTCATTTACTGTGCTAGCATATTTAGGCATAAATAATTTGTGTTTTTTTTTTTTTATAATTGTTAGCTTATTTTCTTGTTATAACCTTGATATTTATCCCTGCTTCAGGTGGAAGATGCACTGTCCTATCTTGACCAGGTGAAACTGCAATTTGGTAGTCAGCCTCAGGTCTACAACGATTTCCTTGATATCATGAAGGAATTTAAATCGCAGAGGTAAAAGATGTGTGATTGTACTCGAGCTTTGTATGTGACATGTTGATTTTGGAAGGAAGAGGATATAGTTTATTTACTGGAAGATAAAGGATGCTTCTTTTTGGGGCTGAATTTTCCAATCATGCCTTTATTTTATGCATTCCTTTATTGATGGAAATTATGGCCACTAGACTTTTTTGTCCCTATTGGTAAATTTTTCTTAACTAAATTTTGTCCAGTGCTTTGTCTCCATCAGGGAAGTAGCACTGGTAATGATTTAGGCCACTTGGCTTTTGAATTGGTTTATATTTTGGCATGCTTCACTGATACAAGAGTGTAACTCATCTGAACAATGTAGATGTGTGCTGAAATGATGTATACTGGTATATCAAAGATTGACTCTTATGTGGGATTTGTAGCTTTATATATATTGTCTGCATGTCTGCTTGGTAGTATTGTTACCATGAGCGTATATTTTGTTCAAAATTTTGACCAATACAGAAATTAGCTGGGCGTGGTGGCAGGTGCCTGTAATCCCAGCTAGTTGGGAGGCTGAGGCAGGAGAATTTCTTAAACGCAGGAGGCGGAGGCTGCATTGAGCCAAGATTGCAACACTGCACTCCAGCCTGGGCAACAGAATAAGACTGTCTTAAAAAAAAAAAAAAAAAAAAAAATGTCGCCAAGTATCTTTGAGTCTAAAGCAAAATGGCTTTGGAATTTCAGAGTTCTTTGTTCATTTTATAATGCATAGATTGTTTATCTGTTTTCCTGTTTAGAGAAAACCTAATAGAAAGTGAAATTTTGGCTGGGTGAGGTGGCTCACGCCTGTAATCCCAGCATTTTGGGAGGCCGAAGTGGGCAGATCACCTGAGGTCAGGAGTTTGAGACCAGCCCGGCCAACATGTGGAAACCCTGTGTCTGCTAAAAATACGAAAATTAGCCAGGCATAGTGGCACATGCCTGTAATCCCAGCTACTCAGGAGGCAGAAGTTGCAGTGAGCCAAGTTTGTACCACTGCACTCCAGCCTGGACAACAGAGTGAGATTCCATGTAAAAAAAAAAAAACCAAAAAAAAAAAAACCCTGGGCATGGTGGCTCACACCTGTAATCCCAGCACTTTGGAGACCGAGGCAGGTGGCTCAAGAGGTCAGGAGTTCAATACCAGCCTGGCCAAGAGGGGAAAACCCCGTCTCTACTGAAAATGCAAAAAAGTTAGCCGGACCTGGTGATACATACCTGTAACCCCAGCTACCCAGGAGGCTGAGGCGGAGAATTGATTAAACCTGGGAGGTGTAGGTTGCAGCGAACCAAGATCATGCCACTGCACTCCAGCCTGTGCGACAGAGTGAGACTCTGTCTTCCAAAAAAAAAAAAAAAGTGAGATTTTTTTTTTCTTACCAGGGTATTTGTCAAGCTTGCAGTCCATCACTTTTCTTTTTGTTTTTTACCAGCATCGACACTCCAGGAGTGATTAGTCGTGTGTCCCAGCTATTCAAAGGCCACCCTGACCTGATAATGGGATTCAACACCTTCTTGCCCCCTGGATACAAAATTGAGGTGCAAACCAATGACATGGTGAATGTGACAACTCCTGGCCAGGTTCATCAGATTCCCACCCATGGCATCCAGCCCCAGCCTCAACCACCACCCCAACATCCTTCCCAGCCTTCAGCCCAGTCAGCCCCAGCTCCTGCCCAGCCAGCTCCTCAGCCCCCACCTGCCAAAGTCAGCAAGGTGAGCACTTGGAAAATATCGCATCAGTGTGAATGCATTCCTAGAAAGCCTTTTCCTTTGACATTTCCCTTTTATATAAAACAGATACTGAGACAAAAGTTTACAAAGATTAATCAGAGAAAATGCAGTAGTCACTTCACTATGACATGGTTCACATTGACACATCACTTAGGTATCTGTTTAAATCAACACAACAACAACTTTCAAGGTTTTTGTCTGTACAGTTTCTGCTTATAAAACCATGTACATCCCAACAGGTAGCGACTTTGTATAACAGTAATTGACAACACACACAGAAACCATCTTACCATGGTCAAATTGTGCTACTGCCCACGTGGTTATCATTTTATGAAAGTTATTTCACTTACCAGATTATATCAAGCTAAGCAGAAGATGTAATGAACAATCATGGTGATGATGAAGATGGGGTGTTTCTTGTCTAGAACCATACCGTATATGACACAGTAGCCACTGGCCACATAAGACTATTTAAATTTAAATTAAATTCAGTTTTTCAGTTGCACTAGCTTTCAAGTGCTCAGTAACTACATGTGACTAGTGGCTATGTAAGACAGTGCAAATAAAGGACATTTCCATCATCTCAGTTCTACAGGACAGAGTTGGTATAGAAGACTTTTTTATGTGGAACTACTGCAACAGTTGAGGTGTCTCTCTTTTTTGACATCAAAAGGCTATGTAGAATGAGATTTTTTTCTATTTGTACTTGTTGAACTACTAAGCTTAAACATTGCATATGAAAAATTCTTCTCTATAATTGGAGATGGCTCCAGTTTTAAGGTTTTTTTTTTTTAGAAAATGTGAGACTGAGATATTTGTGTCAGCATTTTGAACCCTCTACAACTCTCACTTCTGCCCAGTGTGATTTGTGTTGGATTAAAATGGCCTAACCTGAGTGAGTAAATAAAGGATATAAGTTGACACCTTGTTTCTCTTTAGTTTGAACTTTTCCTGTATCAACTCATCTATGCACCTGAGGAGAATAAAGACTTTTTTTCTTTTTAGCCTTCCCAACTACAAGCACATACTCCAGCCAGTCAGCAGACTCCCCCACTTCCACCATATGCATCCCCACGTTCTCCGCCGGTCCAGCCTCACACACCAGTGACAATCTCGTTGGGAACAGCCCCATCCTTGCAGAACAATCAACCTGTGGAGTTTAATCATGCTATCAACTATGTTAATAAGATCAAGAACAGATTCCAGGGGCAACCAGACATCTACAAAGCGTTCCTGGAGATTTTGCACACATATCAGGTAAGAGGAGTACCCGTTCAGCCTGTCTTAACCAGGCTACCCTCTTAGGTCACCTAGTCCAAGAACAACTTAAGTAACCATTATTATGTCTGCTAATTCATACTGGAAATTAACCAGTTAGAAACCATCATTCATGTTTATAAAGCCAGATTTTTGTTTTGTTTTGTTTTGTTTTTGAGGCAGAGTCAAGCACTGTCGCCTGGGCGGGAGTGCAGTGGTGCAATCTTGGCTCACTGCAACCTCCACCTCCCAGGATCAAGCAGTTCTCCTGCCTCAGCCTCCCTAGTAGCTGAGATTACAGGCATCTGCCACCATGCCCAGCTAATTTTTTGTATTTTTAGTCGAGACGGGGTTTCACTATGTTGGCCAGGCTGGTCTCGAATTCCTGACCTTGTGATCTGCCTGCTTTGGCCTCCCAAGGTGTTGGGATTACAGGTGTGAGCCACCACGCCCAGCCTATAAAGCCAGTTTTATTTGTTGACTTGATTGCCCTGCAACAATCAGTCAGGATTTTTAATTTTTTTTGAGACAGACTTTCACTCTTTTAGTCTAGGCCGGAGTGCAATGATGTGACGTTGGCTTAGCAGCCTCCACCTCCTGGGTTCAAATGATTCTTGTACTTTTAGTAGAGATGGCATTTCAACGTGTTGGCCAGGCTGGTCTACAATTCCTCAGCTCAGGTGATCCTCCCTTCTTGGCCTCCCACAGTGCTGGGATTACAGGTGTGAGCCATGATGCCCAGCCTCAGTCAGGATTTTTAAAGTCACGGCCCCATGAAACGAAGCCCTGTTTTATCTGGGAGTTAGATGGTGATTTGTATAGTCTAGTTAATCTACAGTAGGAGGAAGAGAAATTTCTTGAAGGTTTTGTCAGTTAGTAGTGGTCCCCTGGGCATTAATATTTACTGCCCTAGGCCAGGCATGGTAGCTCACACCTGTAATCCCAGCACTTTGGGAGGCCAAGGAAGTTCTCTCCAGCCTGGGTAACAAGAGTGAAATGCTGACCCCCAAAAATTTACTGCCCTAGTTTTGAAAAAAATTGTCATCCACCATCTTCTACTTTTTTCTCAACTTGAAAGTATGCTCAAAATGGGTGCTAAGAATGTAGACTTTCTTCTCACATGCAGCCTAAGTAGATAACAGTGATTCCAGAAAGTGTGCACACATGAGGGACTCAAAACAGTGGCCCTTTAATATGATCTCTCTTCATTTGCAATTCCTCAGAAAGAGCAGCGAAATGCCAAGGAGGCTGGAGGAAACTACACTCCAGCATTGACGGAGCAAGAAGTGTATGCCCAGGTGGCTCGTCTCTTTAAAAACCAGGAAGATTTATTGTCAGAGTTTGGACAATTCCTACCAGATGCCAACAGCTCCGTGGTATGTTTTGTTTAGAAGAATTACACTATTTAAGATTATCATCTTAGATAAATTGGAAAACTGCACTCAGAAAGGGACTTTTCCTAGGTGATATTTATTTGCTTTGATAAGGGCATTAATCTCTTTCATGTGTCTTAATCAGCTTTTAAGCAAAACAACTGCTGAGAAGGTTGATTCTGTGAGAAATGATCATGGAGGCACTGTCAAGAAGCCTCAACTGAACAACAAGCCGCAGAGGCCTAGCCAGAATGGCTGCCAGATCCGCAGACACCCTACAGGAGCCACTCCTCCAGTTAAGGTGAGAATGGGCAGCAGCTGCTCATTTTGATGCTCACAAGCCATTCTAGTGGACAAGTACTCTAGAGGTGGTCGTGTGTTCTTAAGTGCGTTAACGGTTGGATCCTAGATATTTGGAGCAAGTTAGTATTATGTCACAGGAACTCAGTGCACAGTTCATCTGGCTTTGCAAAAGAGTATTACAATAACCTTGATTGCTTGGATTACTGTACTTTTTTGAGTTCTTTACTATCTCTTTTGTAGTGAGCTGTCAGTTCTTTAATGTTTTGGTTGCTACTAATCCAAGACTTAAAATTATTTTCCCTTCTTTTTTTTTTTTTTTTGAGATCGAGTCGCTCTTTGTTGCCCAGGCTGGAGTGCAATGGCGCAATCTCAGCTCACTACAAACTCTGCCTCTTGGGTTCAAGCGATCCTCCTGCCTCAGCCTCCCAAGTAACTGGGACTACAGGCATGTGCTGCAACACCTAGCTAATTTTTGTATTTTTAGCAGAGATAGGGTTTCGCCATGTTGGCGAGGTTGGTCTTGAACTCCTAACCTCAGGTGATTCACCTGCCTTGGCCTGCCAAAGTGCTGGGATTACAGGCATAGGCTACCATGCCTGGCCCCTTCTTATGTGAGGACTTAAAGCTGCCTTGTGTTAAGAAAGAAGATTCTTGAGAATTTCAGAAATGAGTGATCTCTGAGGTCCTCTTGAGTAGAGTGCATGTGCTTTGTGAGATCTCTTTAGTCTAGAAGCCTGTCCTTGCTCAGAGTTCTTTGTTGGGTTACCAGATGTTATCTGTATCATCTCAATCTCCAAGGCAGGACCTTTGGACTGTAGCAGAGGGAAGTCTTAAACTCCTGCTAGTAATCAATTACATGATGTTTTTTGTTATAGTTAACACTGATAGTCTGCCTGCAGGAAGCTCTGCCTACTCCCTTCTTTGATGTGACACAGCTATGATAGGGAAAAGGCTAGTCGTATGTATTGAATGTTGAATTAGTCAGTGAATTTCAAAGCAGTGTGTAATATGGAAGAGATATAGTAAGAGGTGACTAAATAGTAAGTGACTGACTACAAGATCTGATATAATAGGTGTTATTAACACTTTTGAAGTATCCTATTCATTAGTGTTTGTAATGGTTTCTTCTTTTGAAAGCAAGTTGAGCATAATGTTTCTATTCGATTCAGTAAAGAGAATTAGTTATATGGGTAGCAAGAATCAGCTCAGTAGATACACTCCATGCTTAGATTTACATCCTCCCACTCTTGATTACCTACAGGTGGAAAGAATCTAGTGGGGGCTTGTAATTCTCCACCTACTTTCTCCATAGGCAGTGTAAGCAGAGGCTGTGGCAAGTAAGCAAGTATACTCTTAAGACAGCCAAGGTAAATAAATGTGCTACTTTTCACAAAGTTTGTACATTTCCTTATCACGAGTTAAGTAGTGGATGTTAAGAGTAACTTCTTGCCTGACAGGGTTATATCATGGCGTGTTGGTCCCCTTTAAAAGAACAATATTAAGTTAGTCTGAGTGGATATTGCTGATACGTATTTCTTCTATTAGAAAAATTACGCTTTTTAAATAAATTTTTAACTGAAATATTATTCACTGTTAAAGATTGGTTTCTGCCAATTTTAGGCCATATGCACCAGGGTCTTTTTACGGATAGCCTCTTCTCCCTCAACTGGTAGGAAAACAGCGGCATTAGATTCTAAACAAAGTTACTTTGGGCCTCTAGAAAAAAGGATATTCCAAAAGTTTGTCACAGTAATGCCATGATCATTTCTGGAGAGAATATTTGTGGGGGGTAGAATGATCTTTGAAACTCTGTTGGAGAAAGAAACATAACAGGCAAACTGAAATAGAAACTATGAGTAGAAATCTTTGAGGTTATAGAGTGAGTTGGTGAGAGTTCTCGCATTTGTTTCAAATTATTAATCAATGGTTTTAGTGATGAAGCCATTGAACACAGACAAAAATAAAATTCAGAGAAAACCACTCTTTCAGTGTCACATATTTGTATCTTCTTTTGCAGAAGAAACCCAAACTGCTCAATCTAAAGGATTCTTCTATGGCAGATGCCAGCAAACACGGTGGTGGAACAGAATCATTATTTTTTGATAAGGTGAGTAATGAATGACTTAGATTTGATGTTGCCGGTTAATGCCAAAAGAAAATCATCTTATCTCCTAGAAGGTTTTGTTTTAAAGGTGTCAAACTGATTAGGACTTTCTGTGTTTTAACATAGTTTCCCAGTTATGAGTCCTTTGAGTCTGCTAGCACTATTAGCACAGCTAGAGAAATGGTAGCATTGTTTGCTTTGGTTTTATGAAGCAGTTTGGAGCAGGAGACAGAGTTATAGAAAATGTATTATGTTTCTCCCAAAAGATGTTTGGAGCTCCCTGTTGTAGATATCCAGGTCTGTGTAGTAGGCAGTAGCAGTGACTGTACCAATTTTTTGAGGACTTACGATGACTTATAATCTTATTGCTGTCATAGTTGTTTGTAGTATGCGCTTATATAGCATTCAGGGGAATTCCGATTTACTTGCATGTTGTCAAAGCTACCCAGGTGATTCTAATGAGCAGCCAGAGTTGAGATTATTGGCATAAACGATGTTGTGTGGTGTTTTAGTTTGGCCACAGAAACTAAGTGTGATTTCCACCTTGGAGTCAACTTGGTGATTAGCAGGAAAGTTTCATCAGGGTAGCTGGCAACTGTGTGGCTTCTCCCTGGTAGGAACCAACCTGGATTGATCTGTGGTGATTTACTCTATTTTGTGCCTCTGCGGTTTTGCAAAAGGGCAGATGGTGTAACTTCTCCATGATTGGTATCTCGTGATCCCTTTCTGTCTGCCATGCCTATGTGAGCTTTTTGCGGGACAGTCCTGTAAGACTGTTGAATCCATAGCTCTGACGCAAACCGTTTCCAAAGTCTGCTTGAGCAGTTGGTGCTTTTAGACAAGTGTTAGAAGTCTAGATCACAACAATAAATGTCAAGAAGAGGGTAGGGAAGGAGAACTATTGTAAATTAATAAGAATTAAGAAATATATGATCCAAATGTGACATGCAGACTTTTGATTCTACATTTAAAAGCCAATTTATCTTAATTAATTAATTAATTAATTATTTGTGTGGGTTTTTTTGAGACAGAGTTTCACTCTCAGCTTGTAGTGTAATGGCACGATCTTGACTCACTGCAACCTCTAGCTCCTGGGCTCAAGCAGTTCTCCAGCCTCAGCCTCCCAAATAGCTGGGATTAGAGGCGCATGCCACAGCACCCAGCTAAATTTTGTGTTTTTAATAGAGACAGGGTTTCACCATGTTGGCCCGACTGGTCTCAAACTCTTGACCTCAAATGATCACCCCTCAGCCTCCCGAAGTATTGGGATTGCATGTGTCAGCCACCACACCCAGCTAATAGCCAATTTTTAAGACATTAATTAGACAATTTAACTTGGAACAGACTCAGTATTAGATGCAAATAAGGATTTTTTTTTTTTTTTTTTTGAGATAGAGTCTCACACTTGTTGCCCAGGCTGGAGTGATGTGGTGTGATCTTGGCTCACTGCAACCTCCACCTCCCAGGTTCAAGTGATTCTCCTGCCTTAGCCTTGTCACCTCACCACCCTAGGCACCCACCACCACACCTGGCTCATTTTGTATTTTTAGGAGAGATGGGGTTTCACTATATTGGCCAGACTGGTCTCGAACTCCTGACCTCAGGTGATCTGCCTGCCTCAAGCCTCCCAAAGTGGAGGGATTACAGGTGTGAGCCATCACGCCTGGCCTTTTTTATTTAAGAGATTGTCTTCCTCTGTCATCCAGGCTGGAGCTTAGTGGTACTTTGATAGCTCACTACAATCTGAAACTTCTGGGCTCAAGTGATCCTTCTCACCCTCCTGAGTACCTGGGACTATAGTTACATACCACCACACTCAGCTAACTTTTCTAATTGTTGGGAGAAAGAGACGGGGTCTAACTGTTTTGCCCTAGCTAGTCTCAAACTCCTGGGCTCAGGCAATCCTCCTCCTTCAGCCTCATCTTAGGCCTCCTGAAGTGTTGGGATTACAGACATGAGCCACCATGCCTTGCCTTAAGGAGTCTTCTGAAAATAAGTTAATTTCTTTTTTTTTTTTTTGAGACGGAGTTTCGCTCTTCTTACCCAGGCTGGAGTGCAATGGTTCGATCTCGGCTCACCGCAACCTCCGCCTCCTGGGTTCAAGCAATTCTCCTGCCTCAACCTCCCGAGTAGCTGGGATTACAGGCACGCACCACCATGCCCGGCTAATTTTTTTGTATTTTTCGTAGAGATGGGATTTCACTATGTTGACCAGGATGGTCTCGATCTCTTGACCTCGTGATCCACCCGCCTCGGCCTCCCAAAGTGCTGGGATTACAGGCTTGAGCCACCGCGCCTGGCGCAAATAAGTTAATTTCTAAGAGTAATGTGTTTGTTTGTTTGTTTGTTTTTCTGAGACAGTCTAACTTTGTCGCTGAGGCTGGAGTACAATGGCACAAGTCTTGGCTCACTGCAACCTCCACCTTCAGAGTTCAAACGATTCTCCTGCCTCAGCTTCCTGAGTAGCTGGAATTACAAGCACCCACCACGACGCCCAAATAATTTTTGTACTTTTAGTAAAGACACGGTTTCACTATGTTGGCCAGGCTGGTCTCGAACTCCTGACCTTGGGTGATCTGCCTGCCTTGGCCTCCCAAAGTGTTGAGATTACGGGTGTGAGCCACTGCACCCAGCCCTGTAATGGCATTTTCTTAGAAGTACTTTTTAAAAACATGTATACTATATATAGATGAAATATCTGGAATTTGCTTTAAAATGCAGTGATAAGGAGAAATGGGTATAGATGAAAAAAGTTTACTATAGATCATTGAGGTTGGGTAAGTACATAGGTTCATATACTTCTGTCTACTTTTGTGTAAGCTAATAAACATTAAAAGTAAATAGGGTATATAGTATAAAAGGTACAATGTTCTTTTCATCTTTAGCTTTAAAAGTCCAGATTCTATGTAGTATCTATTGATGAACAGTTATGAAGAACATACAGAAGTTTGGAGCAGGTGTTGCTGATAAGCTACTTGGTTTGGTGACAGTCCAGTCTTCACCAAAGGATCATAGTGCTAAATATTTACTTTGGAACTGAAACTCCAGATTGGTAATCTAACCAGGCTAGTTTTACCTTGTCTATGCTATTGATCGTATTTAGGTTTTTGATATTAAGATGCTCTATATTGTAAATAGGAAGAAAAAGGACCGGATCAAAGGACAGAAGTATCCAAGATTACCGGAGTTTAAAACAGTTTTAGCGAAGATTCTTGCTGTAAACATGTTTAAGAGAGGCAACAGACCTGGCACAGTGGCTCATGCCTGTAATCCCAGCACTTTGGGAGGCTGGAGCAGGTGGATCACCTGAGGTCAGGAGTTCAAGACCAGCCGGGCCAACATGGTGAAACCCTGTCTCTACTAAAAATACAAAAACAAATTAGCTGGGCATTGTGGTGGGTGCCTGTAATCCCAGCTACTTGGGAGGCAGAGGCAAGAGAATCGCTTGAACCCGGGAGGCAGAGGTTATAGTGAGCCATGATCTCGCCATTGCATTCCAACCTGGGCAACAATAGTAAAACTACATCCCCCAAAAAAAGAGAGAGAGAGAGAGGGTCAACTAAAGCCTGGGTAACTCTGATATGGTCTGGAGAATCAAACATATAATAAGGTATACTCCAAGATCTCACTTTTTAAAATGTTAATACGGATTTTTTTTTTTCTTTTTTTTTTTTTTTTCGGAGACAGTTTTGCCTTTGTTATCCAGGCTGGAGTGCAGTGGCGCGATCTCAGCTCACTGCAAACTCCGCTTTCTGGGTTCAGGCGATTCTCCTGCCTCTCGAGTAGCTGGGATCATAGGCACCTGTCACCGCACCCAACTAATTTTTTGCATTTTTTTGGTAGAGACAGGGTTTCATGTTGGCTAGGCTGTTCTCAGACTCCCAGCCTCAGGTGATCCACCTGCCTCGGCCTCCCAAAGTGTTGGAATTATAGGCTTGAGCCATTGCGCTCAGCTGGAAAATTTTGGACATACATAAAGAGAATAGTAAAATGATCCCTTATGTACTGACCATCAGCTTTAGCAGTTCCCAATCCTAGCCAGTGTGCTTGTTTCATATATATTCCCACCATTCCAGATTATTTGGAGGCAAATCGCAGATACATTATTTCATCCATAAATATTTTAGTAAGTTTTTTTTTTTTAGACAGAGTTTCGCTCTTGTTACCCAGGCTGGAGTGCAATGGCGCGATCTCGGCTCACCGCAACCTCCGCCTCCTGGGTTCAAGCAATTCTCCTGCCTCAGCCTCCGGAGTAGCTGGGACTACAGGCGCGCGCCACCATGCCCAGCTAATTTTTTCACCTTTAGTAGAGACGGGGTTTCACCATGTTAACCAGGATGGTCTTGATCTCTCTTTTTTTTTTTTTTTTTTTGAGACAGAGTTTCACTCTTGTTACCCAGGCTGGAGTGCAATGGCGCGATCTCGGCTCACCGCAACCTCCGCCTCCTGGGTTCAGGCAATTCTCCTGCCTCAGCCTCCTGAGTAGCTGGGATTACAGGCACACGCCACCATGCCCAGCTAATTTTTTTTTTTTTTTTGTATTTTTAGTAGAGACGGGGTTTTCACCATGTTGACCAGGATGGTCTGGATCTCTTGACCTTGTGATCCACCCGCCTCGGCCTCCCAAAGTGCTGGGATTACAGGCTTGAGCCACCGCGCCCGGCTGGTCTTGATCTCTTGACCTCGTGATCCACCCGCCTCGCCTCCCAAAGTGCTGGGATTACAGGCTTGAGCCACCGCGCCCGGCCAGTAAGTTTTTTTTTAAATGAATCCTTTTTTTGGCCGGGTACAGTGGCTCACACCTGTATCCCAACACTTGGGAAGGCCAAGGCAGGTAGATCATTTGTGGTCAGGAGTTTGAGACCAGCCTGGCCAATATGGTGAAACCTCATCTTTAGTAAAACTACAAAAATTATCTGGGCATACTAGCCCACGCCTGTAATCCCAGCTACTTGGGAGGCTGAGGCAGGAGAATCGCTTGAACCTGGGAGGCAGAGGTTGCAGTGAGTTGAGATTACACCACTGCACTTTAGCCTGAGTGACAAAGCTGGACTAAGCCTCAAAAAAAAAACCTTTTTTTTTTGGAAACATAATTATTGTCACATCTTAAAAAACTAACATTGATTCCTTAGTGTCATCAAATATCAATTTTAAATTTCCCCATTTTTATTTTACCTATTTACTTATGAGAAGGAGTCTTGGCTCCGTTACCCAGACTGGAATGCAGTGTCGTTATTTCAGCTCACTGTAGCCTCTGCCTCCTGGGTTCAAGCGATGATTCTCATGTTTCACTCAGCCACCTGAGTAGCTGGAATTACAGGCATGTGTCACCGCCTGGCTAATTTTTGTATTTTTTAGTAGAGACAGGGTTTTGCCATGTTAGCCAGGCTGGTCTCCCAAGTCCTGGCCTCCAGTGATTCGCTCACCTTGGCCTCTCAAAGCGCTGGGATTATAGGCACGAGCCACCACACCCAGCCACAAATTTCCCCAATTAAAAAAACTAATGGTAGGGCAGCCTGGGCAATGTAGTGACCCCGTCTCTATAAAAAAATTAGGAATTAGCTAGACATGGTAACTCATACCTGTAGTCCTAGCTACTTGGGAGACTGAGGGTGGGAGGCTGCAGTGAGTCAAGATTCCATTACTGCTCTCCATCCTGGGCAACAGAGCAAAGCCCTTTTCAATTCCCCACTTAACTGTTTTTCTTCCCGTTGTCTCCATAAGGTTCGAAAGGCTCTTCGGAGTGCAGAAGCCTATGAAAATTTTCTGCGCTGTCTTGTTATTTTTAACCAGGAGGTGATTTCTCGCGCTGAGCTTGTGCAGCTAGTCTCTCCTTTCCTGGGGTAAGTGAAGTGAGGGGCTTAGCTCTGATTTGTGTTAATGGAGGCCAGGTAATATTTGATTTGTGAGAGTATGTAATAGGCAAAGTTAATTTACTTGAGATAGGTTAGTTGACTCACATGTTAGTGTCAAAAGAGTCCCGAGAGAAGTCTTCTAGTCCAATTCTAGAAATGAAAAAATAGTGAGGGCAGTAAGTATTTATTGACTAATGTCCAAGACTGGTGGCCTCCTGATCTTCTGACCAGTGTTGGATGTTTATTGAGAAAATCTCTCCCAGAGTTCCAGAATCTTTTCTGTATTTGACAACCTAAGAATTATGTGAACATTAAAGCAATATTTTTGATCAAAAGAATGGCTTGTTATTTTGCCTGGTTTCAGTAAAACTGTTTTATCACCACTTTTAACTGATCTGAGAGCATTTTATTAGAAAAAGGGGAAACCAGATGCTCAGAAGCAGTGCTTCTTAGGCAGGAAAGAATTTGTCCCTGGTAGCAGGTTTCTGATCTGAAACCAGATGGTGGTGGTCATACCTCAGGATAACTGTATCATGCCTCTGATTGCTTGTCACTTTTTGGTTTGATTCTTTAGGAAATTCCCTGAGTTGTTTAATTGGTTTAAAAACTTTCTGGGCTATAAGGAGTCTGTACATCTGGAAACTTTTCCAAAGGAGCGAGCCACAGAGGGCATTGCCATGGAGATAGATTACGCCTCTTGTAAAAGACTGGGCTCCAGCTATCGAGCCCTACCAAAGAGTTACCAGCAGCCCAAGTGTACTGGACGGACTCCTCTCTGTAAAGAGGTAAGGCCTTCCCTAGCGGGATCACCCCTGGGTCCTTAGCTTTCTCCAGAAGGGAGTGGTAGTACCAAGGATTAAGAAATTACGTGAATGATGAAATTAAGAACCCTTTCATCCTTTTTAAAAATAATTTTTTTTGAGACAGGGTTTCGTTTTGTCACCCAGGCTGGAGTGCAGTGATGTGATCATGGCTTATAGCAGCCTCAGCCTCCTGGGCTCAAATGATTCTCCCAAGTAGCTGGGACTTAGACACATGCCTCCACACCCAGCTAAAAATATAAAAATAAAAGTTTTTACTTTTGTAAAGGTGGGGTCTTGAACTCCTCCTGGGTTCAAGTGATCTTCCTGCTTCATCCTCCCAAAACACTGGAATTACAGGCGTGAGCTACTGCACCTGGTATCATGTTTTCCACTTACATTCAGAACCCTTTCTTTACTAATACCTTTTTGTAAACTTGCTGAAGGTGAAATTTGTGAAGTAATGTTAGTTGCCTATTTCTTCCCTAGAGTTTTGTCTTTTTATTGAGAATGCTTAATCACCAGAAAGCTTTTTTAGGCCTTTTTTTTTCAGTCTCTCTTCTTCTACCCAAAGGTTTTAAATGATACCTGGGTTTCCTTTCCTTCGTGGTCTGAGGACTCCACCTTTGTGAGTTCCAAGAAGACTCAATATGAAGAACATATTTATCGTTGTGAAGATGAACGCTTTGAGGTACAAGCTTTTTTGGCATTTGAAGCTTGGGGAAATGGGAGATGCTCAGTGAAAGACTATCTCAATACCTGTCTCTGAGGTGTTGGCTTTTTAAGATGGAAGAGCCAGAGGTTCACATAATTCAAGATCTATATGTATTGTTACCCCTAGCAAGTATCTTGACATGGTTAGCAAACCAGCTCTGTTGTGAGAACTGGAATACTCTTTTATGTTTCTGGTATTGATTCCTTCTTTTTTTTTTTTTTTTTTTTTGAGACGGAGTTTCGCTCTTGTTACCCAGGCTGGAGTGCAATGGTGCAATCTCCGCTCACCGCAACCTCCGCCTCCTGGGCTCAGGCAATTCTCCTGCCTCAGCCTCCTGAGTAGCTGGGATTACAGGCACGCGCCACCACGCCCAGCTAGTTTTTTGTATTTTTAGTAGAGACAGGGTTTCACCATGTTGACCAGGATGGTCTCGATCTCTCAGCCTTGTGATCCACCCGCGTCGGCCTCCCAAAATGCTGGGATTACAGGCTTGAGCCACCGCGCCCGGCTTTTTTTTTTTTTTTTTTTTTTTTAATTTGAGACAGTGTCTCATTCTGTTGCCCAGGCTGCAATGCAGTGGCACGATCATAGTTCATTGCCACCTCAACTTTTCAGGCTCAAGTGATCCTCCCACTTCTACCTGCCACTGAAGTGGCTGGGACTACAGGCGTGTGCCACCATGCCTGGCTAATTTTTTTCTTTTTTTTAAAAAAAAACTAAGTTCTGGGATACAGGTGCAGAATGTACATGTTTGTTACATAGGTATATATGTGCCATGGTGGTTTGCTGCACCTGCATTAGGTATTTGTCCTAATGTTCTCCCTCCCCTTGTCCCCTATCCCCCAGTGGCTAATTTTTTGTTTATTATAGAGACAGTGTTTTACTGCATTACCCAGGCTGGTCTCAAACTCTTGGGCTTACATGGTCATCCCACCCTGACCTCCCAAAGTGCTGGGATTACAGATATGTGCCACCATACCTGGCCTGAAGGATAGTTAAATTAGGGACTTTTTTTTTTTTAAGACAGAGTATTGCTCTGTCACCCAGGCTGGAGTGCAGTGGCATGATCTCAGCTCACTGCAACCTCTGCCTCACGGGTTTCAGCCATTCTGCTGCCTCAGCCTCCCAAGTAGCTGGGACTACAGGTGCATGCCACTACTCCCGGCTAATTTATTGTATTTTTAGTGAAGATGGGTTTCACCATGCCAGGCTGATCTTGACTCCTGACGTTAAGTGACCCACCTGCCGTGGCCTCCCAAAGAGCTGGGATTACAAGCATGAGCCCCTGTGCCTGTCCCAGGGACTTTATTTTGAAGTAATTGGAAAGAGTGGAGGTAGTAGAGGGCCCCATACCACTACGTCAGGAGGGGAACTACTGAAAGTAGGCTCAAAATCCCCAGTGTGTTTATATGTCTAGTTTACATTATCATTATCAAAAATGGAAGTCTAGTTTGTCTAAAGAGGTAAAATGACATGTATCGTATTTAGTGTGTCTATTACATTAAATTGACTGGCTGTGCTTATTTGTGTGGATAGGTATTTTGCTGGTGTTTTTTTTTAATACTCTTAGCTCTTTGCCAGTTTTCCCTTGTCACACTTGCTTCAGCTGTTTCTGGTGTGTTTTTAATGAACAGCCACATGCTGCCTTACCACTGGCAGGTGGTTGGCCATCTTTGCCCCAGCATTTATAAGGAGTTACAGCTATTTGCAGAAAACTAAATCATGACAGATGTTAACTTCCATAGGAAGTGTTATCAAGCTAAAGAAGGCATTTCTTTGTTACTTCTGTTTAGTAGGGTTAGCTGATGAGTTAGGAGAGCTTGGTATCTATTTTTGACAGAATGTTCCCATCCTCTCTCAACTGGTATGCCTGCAAATGAGAGGCAGCCTCATTTCTCATTTGTGACCACAAGGGCAAAGATGAAAGAAGTGTGGGGTGTGCGTGTGTTTAAGATTTGATGGAATGGGCTAGTTTGAAGGAACATGCTTTACCAATCATAAGTAGGTTAGTAATGCTTCAGTACAGACAATTCCCACATTTGAGTGACTTGCAAAACCATTGTGTTTAAGTTCTAATCATTCTACACGTACATTGGTGTTTAGCAGGGGATTTGGCGTTTCTGAATCAGTTGGGGACCCAGGCCAAGGGGTTGAATGTTGCCAGTTACTAGAAGGAAAAGAGAGCCCAGAAAGATCTCTCACCTTTAAATGCTCCAGCCTAGAAGTAATAAACATTACTTTTACTCAACTCATAACAAATCATTTGCCGGAACTAGTTACATGGCCCTATTCATTCATAAGGGAGCCAGGAAATTTAGTCAATTTTTTGTTTGTATTTGGAGAGCAAGAGGGACCAGAACTATTGACAAAATGACTACCAGAGTCTCAAAACAAGAAAACGTAGGGAACAATTCTGCAAACATTTGGCTGTAGGTCCTTGAGACTGCTCATTTACTTCTTTTTTTTTTTTTTTTTTTTTTTTTTTTTGAGACAGAGTCTAGCTCTGTCACCAGGCTAGAGTGCAGTGGTGTGATCTCAGCTCACTGTAGCCTCTGCCTCCCAGCTTCAAGTGATTCTCATGCCTCAGCCTCCGGAGTAGCTGGAGTTACAGGCACGCGCCACTGTGCCCAACTAATTTTTGTATTTTGAGACGGGTTTTACCGTGTTGGCCAGGTTTGGTCTCCATCTCCTTACCTTGTGATCCACCCACCTTGGCCTCCCAGAGTGCTGGGATTACAGACGTGAGCCACCGCACCTGGCCCATTTACTTCATTTTCGGTTTCTCATTTAAAGAACCTTATTTTATGCTAGGGAAAAAGTAGAATCAAAGGTTGCCAGGAGTTCAATAAGAATTTAAATGATTAACCACAGATGCAACAGCGAACTCCTTAGGGTATGATAGTCACTGCTTTTATTATTACTGGATGCGGAACAAGGCTATTGAATATTCAAGTATTTGAATATATTTAAATATTTCAAGTTAAACCAAAAAACTCTCGAGACAGAGGTGTTTTGGGATTGTTTTGATACTGTTTGTTCATAACGAATCTTAGCAATTCAGGAAAGTTCAGAGAAAAGTATCAGTAAAGTCATCTCCTGTTAGGTTCCTGTGGTGCGATATCAGTAGTCCTGAGCAAGGCACACATTGGTGGTGGTGGAGGTAATAACTACCATTTATCCAACTTAATCCTATGGTTCTTTTTTTTCTCTCTTTATAGACTACAGACTCAATCCTATGGTTCTTAATGTACCATGTATTGTGCTAAATACTTTATGTAGATTATATCATTTAATCCAAAAACAAGCTTATTAGAGTAATAGGTGCTGTTATCCCTATTTTACTGATAAAGAAACAGCCTTATGTAGCTAATAAGGCTGAACCAGGATTCAAATCCAAGGATTTTAACTCTCTACCTTATTCATCTAACCACTACTCTATTCTATTCTGATTTGGGTCCTAAGCATACCTTTGTCTTCCTCTTCAGCTTGATGTAGTTTTAGAAACCAATCTGGCAACAATCCGGGTTCTGGAAGCAATACAGAAGAAGCTTTCTCGCTTGTCTGCTGAGGAACAAGCCAAATTTCGCTTGGACAACACCCTTGGGGGCACATCAGAAGTCATCCATAGAAAAGCACTCCAGAGGATATATGCTGATAAAGCAGCTGACATCATTGACGGTCTGAGAAAGAATCCTTCCATCGCTGTCCCAATTGTCCTTAAAAGGTACCTGAGTAAATGTGCCCTTGGTGCTTTAGTGTACTTTACTACTATGTCAGTGTGCCACTAAATAAGGCTCTCATTTTCAACCTGATTTTCCCATGAGACCGCTCTTTCTCCCCAGCCCTGGTTGTTGGAATTCACACGCAGAACGGAACTTCTTTTGGGGGTTCTTTGTGACCAACATTAGAGAACAAATCTTGTAGGTTCATGGTGGAAGGCTCTGTGTGTATGTTTGAGGGAATATTTCAAAATAGAGAAAAGAAAAGATAATTACCACCCATGTTCCTGCCACTCAGGATTAACCTAAAATCTTTTTTATTTTTTATTTTTTATTATTTTTTTTGAGACAGGGTCTCCACTTTTTGACCCAGGCTGGAATGCAGTAGTGTGAACACAGCTCACTGCAGCCTCAACTTCTCAGGCTCAGGTGATCCTCCTACCTCGGCCTCCTGAATATCTGGGACTACAGGCATGTGCCACCACATACCCAGCTAATTGTTAAATTTTTTTTAATACAGACAAGGTCTTGCTATGTTTCCCAGGCTGACCTCTAACTCCTGGGCTCGAGGAGTCCTCCTGCTTTGGCCTCCCCAAAGTGCTGGGATTATAGCACAAGCCACAGTATGCCCAGCCCTATGTCATTCTTGACCACATTGAATCCTTTGCTGTGAGCTTGGTTCTCTCTAAGTATCATCTGGTGAAAATTAATTCTTGTTTGCTGCATGGTTGACAAATACCCAAATTTTATTTGTCTTTCATCCTCCCCTCAAGAGCTGGCACAGATCGATGGTTTCTTCTTGCCTGTAACATTTAACTCTGGCTTTTGAGATGTTGGTTATTCTTCCGTTTTAGTGCTGTTTTTTTGGTCTTAGTCTGTTCTCTTCCGGGTTAATAAAATCAGTTCTGGTCAGAACTTTCCAGACTGTATCCAGAGGAACATTACTGTGCACGTTCTCTGCTCTTGGACTTCTATGTCTTCATTAGCATTGTGAACATTTTGCAAAATCCTGCAGCAAAGAAATATGTTTAACTTTATTTTTGCTGGCAAAAGAAGAGAACTGTTTTTTTCAAGGAATACTTCCTTACATCTCAAAGGTATTCCTTGGAATGCTGTTTGATAAATAACTGTTGTAGGGAAATTATTTGACTTTGAGATAAATCATTTCCCCAAAATAAGTCTTAAATGAGTAATTTCCTCATGAAACAGTTCAAGACAGGTTTGATAACATTTATCCCGAGTTGCCAATAATTTTGACAAACCTAATATAGCTTTAACTTTTCTTGAAATAAAGTAAACCTGGCAGATTTCTTTGTTCTAAACCCTCTGAATTCCCATGTGTTGTTTCCGTCCCTTCCCACTTCACTAGGTTGAAGATGAAAGAGGAAGAATGGCGAGAAGCTCAGAGAGGCTTTAACAAAGTATGGCGAGAACAAAATGAGAAATACTACTTGAAGTCTCTGGACCACCAGGGCATCAACTTTAAACAGAATGACACCAAGGTCCTGAGGTCTAAGAGCTTACTCAATGAGATTGAGAGTATCTACGATGAGGTGAGCTGGGGTTTTCTACATCTGTAGGAGGACTCTATGTTTAGCACAGCTTTGATTTCTGGAAATTACCTTTGTTAAATGAAGGTGAGACTCTCTAAGACCTGTTGTTTCTTGCTTCATAGCTGTCATAGCCTTTTCTATTCCTCATTCTACCATTTTAAACCTAAACTTTACACCTAAGCTGTTTGACTAGTTCCCTAGTTTACTATCCTGGTTTCAACTTATACCTCCTGCCTCCATTTTCCACTTCTCCCACTGCCTGTTTCCCTCAATACCTTGTATTCGTACAGTCCCATCTCTCCCTACTACAGCTTCAGAACTTGTCATTGACCACCAAACTCTGTTATCCTTGTTGCATGCCTGCCAGGACTATAAATAGTACTAGGAGCTAGGATCAGAGATGAGCTGTGGGCTCAATTTAAGATGGATAGAAACATAAATCCAGTGCAATTGGGAATTCCTGGAGCGGGGTGATTCTGAATTTAAAAAATAGTAAAATAAGCTCTTTTTTTTTTTTTTTTTTTTTTTTTTTGAGATGGAGTTTCGCTCTTGTTACCCAGGCTGGAGTGCAATGGCGCCATCTCAGCTCACCGCAACCTCCGCCTCCTGGGTGCAGGCAATTCCCCTGTCTCAGCCTCCTGAGTAGCTGGGATTACAGGCAGGCGCCACCATGCCCAGCTAATTTTTTGTATTTTTAGTAGAGACAGGATTTCACCATGTTGATCAGGATGGTCTCGATCTCTTGACCTCGTGATCCACCCACCTCAGCCTCCCAAAGTGCTGGGATTACAGGCTTGAGCCACCGTGCCTGGCTAAAATAAGCTCTTATATAAACTTAATCAGGCTGGGCACAGTACTGGGCTATTATCTGTAATCCCAGCCCTTTGGGAGGCTGAGGCAAGTGGATCACCTGAGGTGAGGAGTTCGAGACCAGCCTGACCAACATGACAAAACCCCATCTCTACTAAAAATACAAAAATTAGCCGGGCGTGATGGTGTGTGCTTGTAGTCCCAGCTACTCGAAAGGGTGAGGTGGGAAAAATGCTTGAACTCAGGAGACGGAGGTTGCAGTGAGCTGAGATGATGCCACTGTATTCCAGTGTGAGTGACAAAGTGAGACTCTGTCTCAAAATGAATTAATAAAATAAATAAATGTAATCATCCATATTTTGCTGATGTTACTTTGTCACCCTTCATACCCCGACCCCAGAAGTGTAGGAAATTCTAGACCTCATATTGTATCCTCTATGTAAATACTAATCCAGAATTTTAAAAGATAGTCCTGCTGGGTGTAGTGGCTCATGCCTGTGATCCCCTCACTTTGGGAGGCTGGGTTGTGCAGATCCCTTGAGGCCAGGAGTTCAAAACCAGTTTGACTGAAATGTTGAAACCTCATCTCTACTAAAAGTACAAAAATAAGGCCCGGCATGGTGGCTCACACCTGTAATCCCAGCACTTTGGGAGGCCGAGGCAGGAGGATCACCTGAGGTCAGGAGTTTGAGACCAGCCTGACCAACATGGAGAAACCCGGTCTCTACTAAAAAATACAAAATTAGCTGGGCATGGTGGTGGCGCATGGGCTGTAATCCCAGCTCCTCAGGAGGCTGAGGCAGGAGAATCGCTTGAACTCAGGAAGCAGAGGTTGTGGTGAGCGGAGATCGCACCATTGCACTCCAGCCTGGGCGACAGAACAAAACTCCGTCTCAAAAAAAAAAAAAAATTAGTTGGGCGTGGTGGCACACATCTGTAATCCCAGCTACTCAGGAGGCTGAAGGATGAGAATGGCTTGAACCTGGGAAGTGGAAGTTACAGTGAGCCAAGATTGCTCCACTGCACTCCAGCCTGGGTGGCAACCTGGGTGGTTCACTCCAGCCCTGTGAAAAAAAAAAAGAAAGATGATGGTCCCAATTCTGTCCCACTTTCCGTGTAAGTCATCGGGATATAGAAGGTACCTGTATTTTGACATCAAACAACGTCTCTGTCATTACCTGTTTGTTTCTAGAAGAGGGACAAAAATTCAGGTCCTGAGTTTTGTTTTTGTTTTGAGACACTCTCACTCTGTTGACCAAATTGGAGTGCAGTGGTACCATCTCGGCTCACTGCAATCTTTGCCTCATGGGTTCAAGTAATTCTCCTGCGTTAGCATCTGGAGTAGCTGGGATTACAGGTACCAGCCACAATGTTCAGCTAATTTTGGTATTTTTAGTAGAGATGTGGCTTCACTATGTTGGCCAGGCTGATCTCAAACTCCTGATGTCAAGTGATCACCCTCCCTGGCCTTCCAAAGTGCTGGGATTATAGGTTGAGCCACTGCTTCCAGCCCCAAGTCCTAAGCTTTTGATTAGAAAAATACAGACACTATGGTGGATAATGGGATGTATAGCTGGTGTGGTCTCTTAGGCATGTTGTTGCTGTAGACATCTCACAGAATACTTTCATGTCTTTGTCCCGTCAGAGGCAAGAGCAGGCTACGGAAGAGAATGCCGGTGTACCTGTTGGGCCCCACCTCTCACTTGCATATGAAGACAAACAAATACTGGAAGATGCTGCTGCTCTGATTATCCATCATGTGAAGAGGCAAACAGGCATTCAGAAGGAGGACAAGTATAAGATAAAGCAAATCATGCATCATTTTATTCCAGATTTGCTCTTTGCCCAGAGAGGTGATCTTTCGGATGTGGAGGAAGAGGAAGAAGAAGAGATGGATGTAGATGAAGCCACAGGGGCAGCTAAGAAGCACAATGGTGTTGGGGGCAGTCCCCCTAAGTCCAAGTTACTGTTTAGTAACACAGCAGCTCAAAAATTAAGAGGAATGGATGAAGTATACAACCTCTTCTATGTCAATAACAACTGGTATATTTTTATGCGACTACACCAGATTCTCTGCCTGAGGCTGCTACGGATCTGTTCCCAAGCTGAACGGCAAATTGAAGAAGAAAACCGAGAGAGAGAATGGGAACGGGAAGTGCTGGGCATAAAGCGAGACAAGAGTGACAGCCCTGCCATTCAGCTACGTCTCAAAGAACCTAGTGAGTGCTTAGACCTCTGATTTACAGAGGATGTGTGAGGTTGAGGACCTTAGAGCTACCTGGACTCAGGACTGCTTCTTTTATTAATAGAGCACCGGCCTTAGAGTCTGTGTAGGGTTCAAATTGTGGCTCTGCAGTTTACTGGTTGTGTTAAACTCTCTGAACCTATTGATCTGAAAAATGGAGGTGCTACTTGCTTTGTGGCATTGCTTTGTGCAAACTATCCTATCCAGGGCTTAGATCGTGGACATTTGGTCACTGGTTGGTATTGGGGACACACCAGGGAAGGGGGTATCACAGTTAATTTCCCAGATGGCACATTTCTGGGTTACTACCAGCTGTTTCAAAGTATATATAGATAAGGACTAAAATGTCACAGTCCATTTCCATCCATGACAGAACAGAAATTCCTAGTGCTTAAAACAGAATTTTCTCTGTTTGGGCAGGACTTCTGTTTAACCAGTAGGGTTTATGGCTCCTTCCTAATATATAGAAGTAGTTTATGGAAAGGAGACTGGAACTCAAGGGGTGATGTGAGACACGGAGAACACACAGAACAGGGATGAAGATGTAGAACTGAGGAAAAGGAAGTAAGTGAGGGTTCAGGGTGCTGTCACGTGCTTTGTGTAATTTTGTGCAATTTTGTGCTGCCTGCTTCCAGTTTACTTCATAAATTAGGTACTTGAGCTGTGAGCCAAAAGCTTGTTCATGAAGCATTTCTTCTGGGCTCTTAAGGAAATCGCCAACCTGAGGAGTGTATCATTTTTTTTTTAAGTGTTGCTGATGTAGGAAGCCCAGATATGGCCCTAGTGTTATATCTGTTGAAGAGCTAATGACACTGGAAGTTAATTCTAAAAGCTTTTATCTGGACTAGTCCTAGCTTGAAAGATAGAAATTTTAGACCTCACTGTGGTGATTCTACCTACTCAGGTAGAAATTAGAAATAAAATGGCCTGTTCCTGGCTTGACCACTGACTTAATCTGGTTTGAGGCTTACATAATATTGTTTTGTGTGATAATGCCAACCCTCACACTTACAGCTTATTTGAACAAGTATGTGGTTTAGACTCAAAGCTTTATTCTGGCATAAAGGCAGTTTTCATAGCAGTGGTATATTTTGGCATCTATAGCCCATACCTATTCTATGGGCCTGAGCAATGTGATACTCCGTGATGAAACTCAAGCCAGTTGTTTTAGTCAACTTTTTATTAAAGTGCGGTGTATAGGCCGGGTGCAATGGCTCACACCTGTAATCCCAGCACTTTGGGAGGCCGAGGTGGGAGGATCACTTGAGGCCAGGAGTATTGAGACCAGCCTGGTTAATAGTGAGACCCCCATCTCTACCCCTCAAAAAAAAAAAAAAAAAAGTACAACATATATATGTATACAAATCAGAATTGTGCAGCTCAGTGAGTTTTTACAGACTAGACATATCCATGTTCAAGAAATGAAACGTGGCTGGGCGCGGTGGCTCATGCCTGTAATCCCAGCACTTTGGGAGGCTGAGGTGGGCTGATCACAAGGTCAGGAGTTCGAGACCGGCCTGACCAACATGGTGAAACCCCTGTCTCTACGAAAAATACGAAAATTAGCCAGGTATGGTGGTGGCTGTCTGTAACCCAGCTACTCAGGAGGCGAGGCAGGAGAATTACTTGAACCCAGGAGACAGAGGTTGCAGTGAGCCAAGATCATACCACTACACTCCAGCCTGGGTGACAGAGTAAAACTCCCATCTAAAAAAAAAAAGAAAGAAAGGAAATATGACCAGTACTCTGATAATCAATCCTTTTGCCACTTTTTTGATTTCTGACACTCTTAACACTAGCGATTAGATTTGTCTTTTTTTGAACTTTATATAAATGGGTCTTTAGTAAGCTAACAGTAGAACTCTTTAGCATTCCATGTGCCCTCTGCTAGTTATCAAATGTCTATAACAACTGATGAGATTTATTGTAGCTAGTGGTTGAAATGATTCATGTGCAGCAAGTAGAGATGATTTAATGCAATTTGTGAAATACAATGTTGCGAATCCATTTTTAAACAAAAGGACTTTGACAAATGCAGATGACTTTATTATTCATAAAGGATTTAATTTGCACTCCTATTTTTCTGTTCCCAAGAGGTTTCCCAGTACTGGAGTATGACTGTGTCTGCCTTTTCTCATCTGTACTTTATGCTTCATTGAAATAGCTTTATGAGCAAGTGACCCATGTGAGGAATTCTCTTGTGCAGTCTGGGAGAGCAGGTTCAGCTCAGCAGGGGAGCCAACAACTCTTTGAAGGACCAGCTTCCCTAGGATATTTTCATCTCCTAAAATAGCCCAGCAGTACCATAAAGAAGTTTCTAGCATGGTCAGTCAGAATATTAGAAGCCACTGTTAAAGTTGCAGAGTCACCCTCTGATAGACAGTGCTGGTGACTGTAGTCACCTGTCAGAATTCATGTCTGTTTATGTTGGAATGAGTGAGTACGTTTTAAATACCTAGTGTTCATAATTTCAAATACCACTTGGGCCAGCTGTGGGATTTGCCCTGGACTCGATCCCTAGTCTTTTCTTAGCAGGGTAAGCCCTCACCTATCCCATCTCTCCCACAGTGGATGTTGATGTAGAAGATTATTACCCAGCTTTCCTGGACATGGTGCGGAGCCTGCTGGATGGCAACATAGACTCATCACAGTATGAAGATTCGCTGAGAGAGATGTTCACCATTCATGCCTACATTGCCTTTACCATGGACAAACTGATCCAGAGCATTGTCAGACAGGTGAGGGCATGGTGAAGGCTAGGGTGAGTGGCGGAAGAAGTTCTTACCCAGAGATGGGCCAGGCAAAGAAAAAGCAAGGAAAAGGAAAGGCAACTTTCTTATGTAATAGTGTTTATCAGTTGGGCACGGTGGCTCACGCCTGTAATCCCAGCACTTTGGAAGGCTGAGTTGGGAGGAACACAAGGTCAGGAGTTCAAGACCAGCCTGGCCAATATGATGAAACCCTGTCTCTACTAAAAATACAAAAATTAGCCGGGCGTGGTGGTGGGCACCTGTAGTCCCAGCTACTCAGGAGGCTGAGGCAGGGGAATCACTTGAACCCAGGAGGCGGAGGTTGCAGTGAGCCAAGATCATGCCACTGCACTCCAGTCTGGGTGACAAAGTGAGACTCTGTCTCAAAAAAAAAAAAAAAAAAACAGAAAACAGTGTTTATGAACATAGGATTCTGAAGAGAGGAGTGGTGGAGGTGAATGTGATGCCTGATTTCTCATGTTAACAAAGTTGCAGTGTATGAGCCTACCTACGCTGTATCTTTTCTTGCTGGCCACCTGTTGAGTACAGTGATCCTGACCCCAGCTTCCTGCCCAACATGTCTATCTCTTCCTTTGTCTGCCATGGGTAGGCACACAGTGTGAGAATTGCCTGTACCATAGGTGCTGGTAAGTTTTTTTTTTTTCAAATAGAGATAAGATTGGTCACTATGTTGCCCAGGCTGGTCTTGAACTCCGGGTCTCAAGTGGTCCTTCTCTCTTGGCCTCCTGAAGTGCTGGAATTATAGACATGAGCCACTGCATCCGTTCAAGGTGTTGGTAACTCTTAAGTAGTTCATTGTTTAATATTTGAAATTCTTTTTATAAGAAAGGGTTCACATAACATCTTTTAGAATACTCTGCCACCTCACTCATCTGGTTCCCTCTGAACCACGGTGCCCAGTTTGTGATTGGTTTTGTGTGTCCTTTCTGTGGCACCCTGGGAACTTGTAAATATATTGTTCTTTACAATAAGGATATAAAAAATAGCTTGTAACAGATAGTCAGGTTTCTACTTCTTGGACTTGAGTTCTGAACTCCCAGAGAGATTGTTGGTTAAGTACTTTTTTCTTTTTTTTGGAGACCCAGCTTTACTGCTGATTTATTCCAAGTCCCCAACAGGGCTTCGTTCTACCTTTTCAACATCCTGTTCTGTGGCTCCCTTGGCTGTGTTTGCCCATATGCTGAAGAGGTGGGCATTGTTATAGGCCATGTGAAGACTGGCAAATACCTTAAAGTTCTTGGGGGTGACTCCGGCTTTCTCCTTCCTGGAGGCATTCTGTATGGGCATTATTGGTCCTGTCAGCTGGGTGGCTGATGAGAGTTTTTCAGCAGAACTGTCTCCCTTCTTGGGGGCTGAGGGCTTCCTGGGGAAGAGGATGGACTTGGAGTCATACTCCCTCAGGTGCTGAACATTGGCCTGCAGGGATGTGGTGGACTTATTCCACCATCTTTTGGATGCTGGTCACCCTTAACTCTTCTAAGCTGAAGCCCCTGCCGGCTTGTACTTGGTGTGATACCTCACTGTGGGGCACCTTACCATGGGCCAGATGGGTCCAGATGCAGGGCACAGGGCAATGCAATGTGCTTTTCTTTGCATCTGCAGATCTTCTGGGCTGGCTAGTTGAGCCATGTGGCCATGGGCCACTGCGATTCCTTGTGAAAGTAGTGCTTTAGGATCATGCCGTTCCAGCTGGGCACCGTGGCTACCTACAGCCATCCTCCACAGAAGAGCTTAGCGGAAAGGCAGTGAACTATTTAAGTGAAAACTTGTAACAAGCAAATTCTAATTCTAGAGTCCACACTGCCACCGTAGAAGGAAAAAGCTTGTTGCTTAGTGTTCTCTTGGGCTAAAATATTGAATCCTTTGCAATGTACCCATGCTTTTCCCTTGGTTTTTGAATGGTGCATGCCTCTGCACTCCTCCCACAGTATGTACTTAGGATTGAGGAAAAGCCCTTCATGTAACTGAACCTTAACATCTGGGGGAAAGTTGTCAGATCGTTGTTTCCTGTAAGTAGAAGTTATTAGGCCTTCCCATAAGGGTTCTGGTTGGTAACTGGCAGAAATCATTAGATGGATACATAGTCACCCATAGTCATACTGTTTCAAACTAACATTTGTTAACTTCCCTGAAATGTATGTAAAAGACAGACTCCAGTTACCCTGAGCTTATGTTTCTGATTAAGTTTGTTGCTGCTTCAGCTAGGAACAAAGTCTTTCATACCACCAGCATAGCTTAAGAAAAAATCCAATAAAACTTTTAATAATTCTGAGGTTGGTTTTTGAAACAATAGATAACAATTACTTTAAGCATCTGGTTATGATTTTGAATCAGTAATACACACTGTCTCCAAACCGCACCCCCCCTTTTTTTAATGGAAACAAAGGTTTCATCCAGAAAAACCCCAAACGGTGACTTTTTTTTTTTTTTTTTTAACACAGGGTCTCTGTTGCCCAGGCTGGCGTACAGTGGTATAATCTCAGCTCACTGCAGCCTTGACCTTCCACCTTAGCCTCCCAAGTAGCTGGGGTCAAAGATACCACCACACCAACTAATTTATTGTATTTTTTGTAGAGATGGAGTTTTAACCATGTTGCTCAGGCTGGCCTGAAACTTATGGGCTCAAGCGGTTCACCTGCTTCAGCCTCCCAAAGTGCTGTGATTATAGGCATGAGCCACTGTGCCCAGCCTACAGTGACTTTTTAAAATATACATTCAAGCTTCTCATCTTAACTCCTTTAATTGGAGGTATCTCTTCTCTCATCCTCATCATCTTTGGTGTTCCCTCAGAGTTCACCGCTGACTGGATGTACAACATATATTTCAAAGTCAAGGGTGGGCATGGTAGCTCATGTCTGAATTCCAGCACTTTGGGCGTCCCAAGGTGGGCAGATCTCTTTAGTCCAGGAGTTCGAGACCAGCCTGGGCAACATGGCAAAACCCAGTTTGTATTGAAAATACAAAAGTTAGCTGGGCATGGCGACTCATGCCTGTAGTCCAGCTACTCGGGAGGCTGAGGTGGGAGGATCACCTGAGCCCAGAAGTTGAGACTGCAGTGAGCTGTGATCACGCCACTGCACTCCAGCCATGTCAAGCCAGTACATTTATCTTACCTATTCTAGTCTGGTTAAGAGGGATTTATATGAAGAATACAGTAGGCATTCTCACAGACATCTAAGTACAGAACTCAAAATATGACCACACCATGGAAGGACTGTGCTGGGAGGTTGTTTTTCTCTTCTATATGCCATCACTCTGGACTTCGGCTCCATGTTTGTGCTTTGCTCTGCAGGTGGACGTTGGCACGTGCTCCCGGCTTGTCCAGCCTCCGAGGCTTTGACTTACCCCTGGTCCCAGTGTTACTGGACCTTTCCATACAGATGCTCCTCTGCAAAAAATCTATCCAACACTCTGTGTCGTTTTCAGTTAGGAGGATAGAGAATCTTATCTGCCCAGTAGTGGGGGTAGAATTCCCTAGTTGTCCCTGGATTTGTAGTGCTGCCCTTTCCACAGATTCGAGGAGGGGTGGGATATCCAAAAAGAGGGTGTGGGTGGGGAATCAGTAATACAGTCTATTTCTACAAGAAAGTATAAAGTAGAGGCGGTGGCTCACACTGGTAATGCCAGCACTTTGGGAGGCCAAAGCAGGCAGATCATTTGAGCTCAGGAATTCAAGACCAGACTGAGCAACATGGCAAAACCCTGTGTCTTCTGAAAATACAGCTATTCAGAATTTATTCTGAAATTCCAGCTACTCAGGAGGCTAAGGTGGGAGGATTGCTTGAGCCCAGGAAGTTGAGGCTGTAGTGAGCCGAGATCACAGTACCACTGCACTCCAGCCAGGGTGACAAAGTGAGATCCTGTCTCAAAAAAAACATAAAGTGGAAGCATCTACATGTCTGGTTGAAGTCACGCTTTCCATATATCTTTTTCCTGTTTTGCCTTTTTGTCTCTGTAAAAAAACTGTATGTTAAGCATTTCCTCATGTTATCAAGTACTCATAAGCATTATTTTAATGGTTGTATCAGAATCCATTATCTGAACTTCTTGTCGTTTATCCATTGCAGTTGCTGGAGTACTACCCTGTCTGCCATACCCAGTCACCCTTCTGACCTTTCTTTGTGTCCAGTTATCTAATACACATACTGGTCATTTAGGACTTAAAGTTAAGCATCAGTAGTTACCATGGTTCCTAACACTTCAGAAAGAGTGTGTTTTTCTAAAAATAGAATGGTTTGGTGGTTATGATCATTTTAAAGTAAAAGAGACTAAATTAATCTTTTGCTTTCTTGTATCTTTTTCATTTCTGTAGTTTGGATGGTAGAGTTTCATTTGGGAGGATACTTATTTCAGAATAGAAATAGCATATGACATAATAATGGGAACTCTGAGGTTCGACTTTCTAGTCATTAGATAGCTTACTAAGATTGTCACAAAAGCTACTGATAATTAATCATGATTGGCTTGTATTGACATGAGTTAGCATGACGTACAACTTACGTACTATACTTTCTGTCAGAGAAAAATAGGTGCTGTGTTGGAAAAGCATTGGGCTAGGAGTCAGTAAGCCTGGCTGTTAGGCCTAACCCTGCCTCTTCAGCTGAGCACCCCTAGGCAATAATTCAGCAGCTATTTCTCAAATACCTGATGAGTTTCAGGCTTTGTAGTTGAGCTGGGAATAAAGATACAGATATTACATTCATCATTCTCCAAGGCTCCCCTCCTCACCCCAGCTCACAGTGAGCTTTGCAGTGCCACTGTCTCAGCTCACTGCAACCTCCACCTCCTAGGTTCAAGCTATTCTCTTGTCCCAGTCTCTGGAGTAGCTGGGATTATAGGCACCTGCCACCACACCCGGCTAATTTGTGTATTTTTAGTAGAGATGGGGTTTCGCCATGTTGGCCAGGCTGGTTTCAAACTCCTGACCTCAAGTGATCTGCCTACCTCGGCCTCCCAAAGTGCTGGGATTAGAGGTGTGAGCCACCGTGCCCAGCCATCTTTCTTTATGCATTGTGTAAATTTGTCTCCTAACAGGCCCCAACACACTCTCCAGCCTGCTTCCCAGGGCAGTTGTGAGGATCAAATGAGAAAGAATATGTGTGAAAGCAAATTGTAAATGATTTTAAAATGCAACAAAAATATGACCTGTAGAAAATTATTTAAAGATTCTTAGAATTTCAAATAAATAGTACAATTAACCTGAGCTCTCTGGTTTTTATTTTAAATAGATATGAAAGTTTTACCATGAACCACTGATATGGTTAAAAATCTTGGCTTGATTATTCTCCAAGAAAATGATACAGTGGTTTTTGAGATTAATTTTCTTTCTTTCTCTCTTTTTTTTTTTTTTTTTTTGGTGAGATTAATTTAGACTGACTCTTGCTTTTGGCAGATTGGAGTGCAATGGCGTGATCTTGGCTCGCTGCAACCTCTACCCCCCGGTTTCAAATGATTCTCTTGCCTCAGCCTCCTGAGTAGCTGGGACTGACTGCAGGCACATGCCACCACAGCTGGCCAATTTCTGTATTTTAAAGAGACAGGGTTTCACCATGTTGGCCTGGATGGTCTCCATCTCTTGACCTTCTGATCCGCCGCCTTGGCATCCCAAAGAGCTGGGATTACGAGCATGAGCCACTGTGCCCAGCCAAAAAAACCTTAAATTTTTGAGTGACTGGATCAGTTAAAGGAATGTTGACTGTATAATGGAGAAGCGTTTTCTGTGTTCACTAACAGCTTGCCTTTGTTTGATTCCAGCTGCAGCATATTGTGAGTGATGAGATCTGTGTACAGGTGACTGACCTTTACCTGGCAGAAAATAATAACGGGGCCACTGGAGGCCAGCTGAACACACAGAACTCAAGGAGCCTCCTGGAGTCAACGTATCAGCGGAAAGCTGAGCAGCTAATGTCAGATGAGAATTGCTTTAAGGTGAGAGATGCTCATGTAGTCAGAGACCTTGCTTGTGACAATGTAAGTTAGGATTTTCTGAACCAGAATTTAAAGCCACAGTACTTTGACCCGTGATTCTACTCTTGGAACTTTTTAGAGTTCCTAATGAATTCATCAGAGAAATACAAAGTGGAAATAACTATCTTCCTGGACAATCTACTTTGTTTCTTTCCTGCCTTAAAAAAGAAAAGTTATACATGATTTTTACAATTTTGTATTCTTCTTTTTCTCTGGACATTTTTCAGAGTATGCTTTTTAAGTATTATTGTTAGAAAAATGTTGGCACATGAAATCCATGATTATGGTCATTACAGCAAAGAAAACATGGGACCCGGCACACATGGCTGACACTTGCAGTCCCAGCATTCTGGGAGGCTGAGGTGGGCGGATCACTTGAGACCAGCTTGGGCAACATGGCAAAACCCTGTCTCTGCAAAAAATACAAGAATACAAAGATTAGCCAGGCATGGTAGTGTGCACCTGTAGTCCCAGCTACTCAGTAAAATAAGGTGGAAGGATCATTTGAGCCTGGGAGGTTGAGGCTGTAGTGAGCTCTGATCACATCACCGCACCGCAGCCTGCTCTGTGCCAAAATATGAAATGGAAAAAAAAAGTCACCTTAGAATTCTATCCTAAAGTTATCATTGATGACATTTCTAAACTTCTCTATACTTTAGTATATAAATGCTCTTTAACTTTGTTTTTTTGTTTTTTGTTTTTTTTTAAGACAGGGTCACACTCTGTTGCCCAGGCTAGAGTGCAGTGGCGAAGTCTTGGCTCATTGCAACCTCTGCCTCCTGTGTTCAAGTGATTCTCATCCATCAGCCACCCTAGTAGCTGGGATTATAGTAATTTACCACCATGCCCAGCTAAGTTTTGTATTTTTAGTAGGGATGTGGTTTTGCCATGTTGGCCAGGCTGGTCTCAAACTCTTGGCCTCAAGTGATCTGCCTGCCTCAGCCTCCCAAAGTGCTGGGATTACATGTGTGAGCCACTGCATTTGACCTGAAATGGTCTTTAACATATTTTTGCTCAATTAGCAACACTTCTGGATCTTTAATCTCTTTTTTATGGCTATTTGATACTCACTTTATAGAGAATTAATGCTTGTGTTGTTGGACATTTAGGTTGTTTCCAGTTTTTCACCATTATACTGGATAATTATAAAAGCAAATAGTTGGAAACAACCGAGATGTCCAACTCACTATGGGGATTGGTTAATGACATGCTGTTATGAATACTGAAGAAATATTTTGCAATTCTTAAAAATAAATTATAAATTGTAAAAATTCAGAGCCTGCCCCCCTAAAAAATCTATTTTGGAAATAACTGTGCATTTGTGTATATATTATGTTGTCAGATTATAGCTTTACTAGCAGAGAGGAATTTTTTTTTTTTTTTTGAGATGGAGTTTCACTTTTGTTGCCCAGGCTGGAGTGTGATGGCGCAATTTCAGCTCATCGCAACCTCCGCCTCCCAGGTTCAAGCAATTCTCCTGCCTCGGCCTCCTGAGTAGCTGGGATTACAGGCGTGTGCCACCATGTCCAGCTACTACTGTATTTTTAGTAAAGATGAGGTTTCTCCATGTTGGTCAGGTTGGTCTCAAACTCTTGAACTCAGGTGATCTGCCCGCCTTAGCCTCCCAAAGTGCTGGGGTTACAGGTGTGAGCCGCCGCACCCTGTATTAAATTTAAAAATTCCAACTTAAAGTTGGAATTTTTAAAACTTTAACAAAACACTGAGCTAGATCTAGCTTCTGGCTCTGTGTATTTCTTGACTGGTAGTGTGCCTTGAGAAACCAGAACTCTGAATTTCAGTTTTCTCCTGTATCAAATGAAGGAGGTTGAAATAAAAAGTTCTCGAGTTTTAGGCTCTGATCTTCTCCATGTGATTCTGATAGCTACCTTGTCTGCAGAAAGCCCTTAGGATACGGGCACTGAGAATCTCAGGGTTCTGAAAGGAGATATCCATGTGCCATCACCATTGAGCATTGTTTTGTGCAAAACATGGTTTGCTTGCCTCTATTGGTGTGTTGCTTTTAAGTATGGATTTTTTTAACCACACAAATAGTAGAACTCAGAATTTCAAAAACTTCATATAAATTGGTGCCATTTATAACAACATTTTTTTTTTGTTTTGTCCTTTTTTTGAGACAAGGTCTCACTCTGTTGCCCAGGCTGGAATGCAGTGGTGACAAAATGGCTCACTGCACCCTCTGCCTCCCGGGCTCTAGCAGTTCTCCCCCTTCAGCCTCCCAAGTAGCTAGGACCACAGGTGTTAGCCACCACACCTGGCTAATTTGTGTATTCTTAGTAGAGATAGGGTTTTGCCATGTTGCCCCCAGGCTGGTCTCAACTGGAATGAAGTGATCTACCTGTCCTAGCCTTCTGAAAGTGCTGGGATTTCAGTCATGAGCCATCACACCTGGTCCAGCACTTCTTAATACCTTTTTGTTGTTGTTGTTGTTCCTTATTCTAAGGCATATGAAGCCGTTTTTTTTTTTTTTTTTTTAAACACTGTTGCACTTTATAGCCCAGATTGGAGTGCAGTGGCGGGATCTCAGGTCATTGCAACTTCCGCTTCCCAGTTTCATGCAATTCTCCTGCCTCAGTGTCCCGAGTAGCTGGGATTACAGGTGCACACCACCACACCCCGCTAATTTTCTGTATTTTTAATAGAGACGAGGTTTTGTCACGTTGTTTAGCCTGGTCTCGAATTCCTGAGCTCAGGCAATCCACCCGCCTTGGCCTCCTAAAGTACTAGGATTACAGGCATGAGCCACCAAGCCCAGCCATTTATTGTAGTATTAATGCAATTATTGGTTTTTGTTGTGTGTGATTTTTTTTTTTTTTTTTTTTTTGGGAGATGGAGTCACGCTCTGTTGCCAGGGTAGAGTACAGTGGCACAATCTCAACTCACTGCACCCTCTGCCTCCTGGGTTCAAGCACTTCTGCCTCAGCTTCCTGAGTAGCTGGGACTACAGGCACGCACCGCCACACCCAGCTAATTTTTGTATTCTTAGTAGAAATGGGGTTTCATCAGGTTGGTTTCACCAGGCTGGTCTTGAACTCTTGACCTCATGATCTGCCCGCCTTGGCCTCCCAAAGTGCTGGCATTACAGGCATGAGCCATGGTACCCGACCTTTTTTTTTGAGATGGAGTTTAGCTCTTGTTGCCCTGCTGGAGTCTGATGGCTCGAGCTCAGCTCACTCCAGCCTCTGCCTCCCGTGTTCAAGGGATTCTCCTGCCTCAGCTTCCTGAGTAGCTGGGACTATAGGCATGCACCACCATGCCTAGCTAGTTTTTGTATTTTTTTTAATAGAGATGGAGTTTCACCATGGTAGCCAGGGTGGTCTCCAACTCTTGACCTCAGGTGATCCACCCACCTTTGCCTCCCAAAGTGCTGGGATTACAGGCATGAGCCACTGTGCCCAGCCCCTTATTTTTTAAGCACTGTAAACTCGTTTCCATCTTTGTATTACATCCTAGAAGTGGGATTTTCAATGGACAGAGCATTGACATTGCGGTTCTGGCCACATGTGCCATATTTCTTTCTCACAAGCAAAATATTTGTTTTGTGAAACATTCTTATTGGCATTGATTATTATTTTAGCGAATTCTAGAAGTTTGAAACATGAAATGGTACTTTTTGCTTTAACATATTTCATTTTACTTGTAGTAAGTGCAAATTTACCTTTATCACTGGCCTCCCAAGATTAAGTAACTTCCTAATTTCTTCAGTTGGAGCAAAGTTTACTAAGTTTATTGCCTCTGCACCTCCTGTTCCTTGAGAAGACTTATTGCTGTAGAGATGCTCTTTTGTTTATGCTTAGGTTTTTTATTTGCAGCTTATGTTTATTCAAAGCCAAGGGCAGGTCCAGCTGACTATTGAGCTTCTGGACACAGAAGAGGAGAATTCGGATGACCCTGTGGAAGCAGAGGTATGAGCAAGTACATCACAGAGCCCAGTTGCCAAGCAGAGCTGGCGTGTCCTGAGATTCTGTCCAGTGACTCTGTCTGCCAAAAGACCAAGGCACCTTAGGCCTGTTGAAGGGTGCCTTGGATGCGTGGATGCTTAAAGTAGAAGTCAGTGCTTCACTGCACCAAGTGATGCATGGATGACCTGGATGCTTAAAGTACAAGTCAATCCAGCCATGTCTTCAGCTGAAGAGAAGGGCTGCCTGGTTATAGACGTTAACCTCATCTTGCACTTAGTAAAGCTGTCTCCTCTAAGGAAGTCTTAAATGGTTGGCAGCTTTCCTGTTTTTTTCCTAAAGTATAAAAACCAACAAATGAGGTACCATCTTTTTCATGTAATCTTGATTGTTTGGGTCATGTTTACTTTTTATTGGACCAATAAAGCCCAGAGTTCTCAACCTCTGAGTACACAGATGTGATTATCATAGTTGGTTCTGGCAGATAATGTAAATGGGAGAGCCAGGCCATATGTATGATGATGGGGGGGACATGTGGGATGACTTGTTTGGTGGGAACGTTGGCTTATCGCCAGATCTTTTTTTTTTTTTTTTTTTTTTTTGAGACAGAGTTTTACTCTTGTTACCCAGGCTGGAGTGCAGTGGCGCCATCTCGGCTCACCACAACCTCCACCTCCTGGGTTCAGGCAATTCTCCTGTCTCAGCCTCCTGAGTAGCTGGGATTACAGGCACGTGCCACTATGCCCAGCTGTTTTGTATTTTTAGTAGAGACAGGGTTTCACCATGTTGACCAGGATGGTCTTGATCTCTTGACCTTGTGATCCACCCGCCTGGGCCTCCCAGAGTGCTGGGATTACAGGCGTGAGCCACTGTGCCCAGCCAGATCTCTTTTTTTAAAAATGAGATGTCAGAAATCTAGATTGTAATGTAAGGTATACTTTCAGACATTTGCCACTATAATATAAATTTTGTTGTTTAACAAAGTCCTCTGTGGGGAAATGAAACTTGTCAGTGAGCCAGCTTCTACCTGTTTACGACTTCTGGTAACCTTAGCATCTCAGAGAAACTTAGCAGTATTGCTGGCTAACAGAATTGTTAATCTGTGTTTCAATACTTAGTAACAATCATGTCATTCATTATAGAAAGGGACTTTTTTTAATCTTGAAATTTATAAATTTGTACTGTAGTCATAGAATTTATTAGAGTACCTGATGTGTTAGGAGCTGCTTTTGCGATTTCCTTCCATCTCTTATTTTGTGTTTGCCATCTTAGCGCTGGTCAGACTATGTGGAGCGATACATGAATTCTGATACTACCTCGCCTGAGCTTCGTGAACATCTAGCACAGAAACCAGTATTTCTTCCGAGGTGAGTGAGCCTTGTCACCTCAGTCTGTACTTATATATGGTTGTGGAATGGAGAGTTAAATAACTTTCACATTATTGTTCTTCATGTTTTATTCATTTGTTTTATCTGCCAAGGATGCTAAGTCAAGGTTTATGTGGCTGTCACAACATAGGCTTACCTGGAGCATGTGTCAGAGCATCTGGGAGGTGAGAGATGTAGGGAATCAACAGTAACCTCCTTACCAGAGTTTAACTCTCAGAAAGAAAGCAGGTTGTCAGCATAAGCTATATAGTTTGTACACATAGTTTAGGTACATCGAGATGCTTACATGAGTTAGGAAATGGTAGAACATTGACCCAAATCCAAGATCCTAGCCGCTAGCCAAGGGCCAACTTTTATATGCATGCTTTTCAAAGAGTAACAGTCTTAGGCCTGCTATATTAACTCTTTTCTGCACAGAAGTTTTAAAATGTTCCCTCTCTATATAGGCAGATTATGATACTGATCCTCCAAGTATATGAAAACAAGAGTTTAAGAAGTATAAAATAGGCCGGGCGCGGTGGCTCAAGCCTGTAATCCCAGCACTTTGGGAGGCCGAGGCGGGTGGATCACGAGGTCGAGAGATCGAGACCATCCTGGTCAACATGGTGAAACCCCGTCTCTACTAAAAATACAAAAAAATTAGCTGGGCATGGTGGCACGTGCCTGTAATCTCAGCTACTCAGGAGGCTGAGGCAGGAGAATTGCCTGAACCCAGGAGGCGGAGGTTGCGGTGAGCCGAGATCGCGCCATTGCACTCCAGCCTGGGTAACAAGAGCGAAACTCCGTCTCAAAAAAAAAAAAAAAAAAAAGAAGTATAAAATAGGTAGAAGTATAAAATAGGTAGAATGGCTTTTATCCTTAAAAGTTTTTAGGGCCGAGGCAGGTGGATCACGAGGTGAAGAGATCTAGACCATCCTGGCCAACACGGTGAAACCCCGTCTCTACTAAAAATGCAAAAAATTAGCCGGACGTGGTGGGACGTGCCTGTAATCCCAGGCAATGGCGCATTATCGGCTCACCGCAACCTCCGCCTCCCGGGTTCAGGCAATTCTCCTGCCTCAGCCTCCCGAGTAGCTGGGATTACAGGCACGCGCCACCACGCCTGGCTTATTTTTTACATTTTTAGTAGAGACGGGGTTTCACCGTGTTGGCCAGGATGGTCTCGATCTCTTGACCTCGTGATCTACCTGCCTCGGCCTCCCAAAGTGCTGGGATTACAGGCATGAGCCACCGCGCCCGGCCCACCCCAAAAAAAAAAAAGTTTTTAATTGAAACCTTATGTCTTAGGTTTTCAAGAAAGTATCATACCAGTGTTATTAGACTTAAGTCCTAAAGAAAACATGGGAAAAGGGTATGAACAAAAAGGGCCCTGCCAGGTTCTCCATTCATTGAATCATTTGAGCAGTTGCTTTGTCAGGTTCCTCTCAACAAAACAGGCTCCGTGCTAATGACATACTACAATAAACCTCTCACCGGGATATGAGGAAGGAGGCACATTTATGTCATGTGAGAAAAAAGAAATTGATAAAATCGTTCTGATGGCAGGGTAGTTGAAATGTACAAAACCTTCCCTCTAGAATTTCAGTTTCTCCTATTTTGTCTGACAGCTAAGGGGCTCATTTTATTGGCCTTGAGACCCCTTACACTCTTTAGAGCATGAGTACTCCAAAGAGCTTTTGTTTATATGGATCAGGTAATATTTACCAAGATAGAAACAAAAACTGACACAACGAAATGTTTTAAATCTGTAATTCATTTTAAAAATAACAATATTTGGCCTTGAGCAGGGGCTCATGCCTATAGCCCCAGCACTTTGGGTGGGCAAAGCAGCATATCATGAGGTCAGGAGATCGAGACCATCCTGGCTTCGGTGAAACCCCATCTCTACTAAAAACACAAAAAATTAGCCAGGCCTGGTGGTGCATGCCTATAGTCCCAGCTACTTGGGAGAATGAGGCAGGAGAATCGCTTAAACCAGGAGGTAGAGGTTGCAGTGAGCCGAGATTGCGCCACAGCACTCCAGACCGGGCGACAGAGGGAAACTGTCTGAAAAACAAAATAAATAAATAAAATAACAATATTAAGCCCATTGTATTTTCTTAAATACTATTTTTAAAGAATAGAATGGCATCGTTTATATTTTATAAACTTGTTTAATGTCTGGCTTACTAGAAGAACAGCTGGATTCTCATGTCTGCTTCTACATTTAATCTGTTACATTATGTTGTTTGGTTGAAATATGTGAAGAAAATCTGGCCTCACGTGTAGCTGGAAAAAGGAGAAGTATTTTCAGATCCTTTCAGATAACTGGATATTCTTTCATATGACAACAAAACTACCAGTGATAGTTTCTTAGTGGTTAGTTGCAGTATCAATTTATACATAAGTGGGCTTTTCATACAGTTGTCAAAATCCATTGATTGATTTTGTACCATGAAAGAATCCTTTTTTTCTCTATGATTTTGTAACTTTATGCAGTTGGCTATTTGGAAAATATTAGCTCACTAAGTTGTACAGACCTACTAAATGTTGATATATTTTACAGTGTCTCCAAAAAAAATCACATTGATTAATATCGCTATCTCCAAGTCATCAGACATCTTTTTAAGTACTGGGAAGATGTCAAGCTCAGGGTGGTGGCTGATACCGGTTCACCAAAATTCATAGTGTTGCTTGAAAATTCCAGTCTTATCGTTGAAAACATTATTTTCCTTGAAGTTACTGGCTCCCTTGTTCATATTTGCGAAAACACCCCCCAAATACTTGGCTGAGTTGCCTGCATTTAATCAGTTGTTCTTTCAGGTAAAAATGGTGATCCACTTTAACTCAAGCAATTGCTTAAGTGCTTTTCTCTAAGAATACCATTGTACTTTAGCACACAAAGGTGCTTTATATGTAGTTCCCATTTTATCACACTGGCATGTTAGAAGGATGTAAACCAAGGGGTGGGATTTAATAACAAATGTTACTGCTTCATTAGAAGCATTCCTTTTTTTTTTTTTCTTTGGGAGGCAGAGTCTCACTCTCACCCAGGCTGGAGTGCAGTGGCGAATCTCAGCTCACTGCAACTTCCACCTCCTGAGTTCAAGTCATTCTCCTGCCTCAGCCTTCCAAGTAGCTGGGATTACAGGTGCATGCCACCACACCCAGCTAATTTTTGTATTTTTAGTACAGACGAGGTCTCCCCATGTTGGCCAGGCTGGTCTCAAACTCCTGACCTCAAGTGACCGCCCTCTTTGACCTCCCAAAGTGCTAGGATTGTAGGGGTGAGCTACCATGGCCAGCCCATCGGAAACATTCTTAAGTGAAACTGGCTTTTTTCACTTAACGTCATTCTGTGGTCAGTAAAATGCAAAGACTTGAATCGTAATTGCATTAAGTTACAAAATCATGGCGGATTCATTCATGGTACAAAATAAACAAATGGAGTTTGACAACTGTGTGAAAAGCTCAGTGATGTATAAATTGATACTGGAATTTGATAACAATTTGTTCCCAAACAATACAGGCACCACCAGCATTTTTATTCACCATTACTTTTATGCTGCCAGTGCAGATGTCAACCCAGCAAGAAAGGAAAATAATGTTTTAGTATTAATCTCACAGATCTCCTGAAAGGGTCTTGGGACCCTTTTGGTCCCTGGGGTCCTTGGACAAAGAATTGCTGTCTACAGAAATACATATATACGAAGATACTCACTGAAGCAATATTTTGGGATTTTTTTGAGACACAGTCTGGCTCTGTCTCCCAGGCTGGAATACAGGACGGGATCCTGGCTCACTGCAACCTTTGCCTTCAGGGCTCAAGCGGTCCTCCTACCTTAGTGTCTCAAGTAGCTGAGACTATAGGCATGTGTCACCATACCTGCCTAATTTTTTTTATTTTTTTGTGGAGAAGGGGTTTTGCCATGTTGCCCAAGCTAGTCTCAAACTCCTGAGCACAAGCAATCTGCCTACCTCCCAAAGTGCTGGGATTATAGGCATGAGCCACAGCGGCCAACCTGAAGCAGTGTTTTTAATAGCAAGTTATGAGAAATTATATAATTGTCACGCTGATAACCTTTCTTCACTGGATGTTGAAGAGATTTATCAAGCCTCTCACCCCCAGGGCATCTAATTATGTGAATTATCTTATTTGTTGTGTATGTAGTGTGGCACTAGTTGATATCATCTGGGGAAATTTTTAAAAATAGGCATTCAAATAATTTTTTGTTATGCGGTTCAGATGAGGAATCTCGATTGAAAGAAGTAGTTGCCGGGCGCGGTGGCTCACGCCTGTAATCCCAGCACTTTGGGAAGCCGAGGTGGGTGGATCACGAGGTCAAGAGATCGAGACCATCCTGGTCAACATAGCAAAACCCCATCTCTACTAAAAATACAAAAATAGTAGCTGGGCGTGGTGGCGCGTGCCTGTAATCCCAGCTACTCCGGAGGCTGAGGCAGGAGAATTGCCTGAACCCAGGAGGCGGAGGTTGCGGTGAGCCGAGATCGCGCCATTGCACTCCAGCCTGGGTAACAAGAGCGAAACTCCGTCTCAAAAAATAAAAATAAAAAAAAAAATAAAGAAGCTGTTAAGGAATGGTAAATTCGGGTACATTCTTCTGCAGCAGTTAAAGAGGATGAGACTATGTCATAAAATGAAACACTATTCTTGACAGTAAGTGAAAAGCTGAGGACAAAATGCATAGTATGATCCCATTTTGTCTTAAAAACAAATCCCAAAGCAGAATTACAGCTGGTAATTACATGTGTAAATTTACAGACAGAGGCCTAGAAGTTTCTAATTAAAACTCTTAACTGGCTGCATCTGCTAAAGTAGGGTATGAACAAAGATTTCTACTTTTTATTCTGTGTACCTTTGCAGTTGAATTTTTTTTTTCAGTGATGTATAAATTGTGATTGAACATTTTTGTATGTTTTTAACAAATTGGAATGAGTACTATGCAAACATATAATACAACTCACTTGGGGGAAGTCATGGGAATCTGCTTCTGGATGAGCTCTCATCGTGCAGGGCTTTTCTGCCATAGGAATCTGCGGCGGATCCGGAAGTGTCAGCGTGGTCGAGAGCAGCAGGAAAAGGAAGGGAAGGAAGGAAACAGTAAGAAGACCATGGAGAATGTGGATAGTCTGGATAAGCTGGAGTGTAGATTCAAGCTGAATTCCTACAAGATGGTATATGTGATCAAGTCAGAGGACTATATGTATCGGAGGACTGCCCTGCTCCGGGCTCATCAGGTGAGAAGCAGTAACTGAAATTGCTGTGTACATCTCCCACCCCAGCCAGGACCAGGGGAAGCCCAGTGTCTTCTGATTGTTTCTCTTCGTTTATGGAAACCTGTTCTTAAAGCTGAGACATACTGAGGAAGTAGGTATATTGGTTTTCTAAAGATGCTGTGACAAAGTACCACAGACTCTGTGGCTTAAATGACAAAAGTTCTGGAAACTAGACGTCCAAAGTCAGGTGCCAGCAGTGTTGGTTCCTTTTGAGGACTGTGAGGGAGAATCTGTTCCAGACCTCTCTTAACTTCTGGTTCTTTGCTGCCAATCTTTGGCATTTCTGGACTTGTAGCTCCCTGCCTTCATTTTCATATGGTGTTTCTACGTGTGTGTGTGTGTGTGTGTGTGTGTGTGTGTGTGTGTGTGTGTGTGTGTCTGCCTCCAGATAAGGTCACATTCAGAAATACTGGGGGCTAGGACTTGAATATAGGATTGTTGTTATTATTTTGAGACAGAGTCTCACCTGACTCAGCCTCCCAAAGTGCTAGGATTACAGGCATGAGTCACTGTCCCCAGCCAACATAGAAATTTTAGGGAGAACACAGTTCAGCCCATAAGAGCAGGTGAATACCTGGTGGCACCTTTTTAGTCAAGTTACTCCTGGTATTTACATCTCAAGTAGTATCTTATCTTTTGATTGTATGAGTCCTACCTGTTTTTACATTCTGTCTCAATTGTGAAACCTTCCTGGTACAGCTATGTACAGGGTGTTATGCCAGCCCCTGGGCCTGCAGCCATGAAGTAGAGCAGATAAGTTAATGTGATGATATGCACTACCAGAGAAACAAATCAGGTGAAGTAATCAAGGGTAACTGGCATATAGGCATTGCTTTCACTGGAGGAGTCTTCTCAAAGCTGGTGATGCTTGAGGCCTGAATAAATGACAAGGAATTAGCCTGGTGAAGAGTTGAGGACGGGTATTTCCTAAACAAAGAAAACAGCAAGTACAAGACTGGGAGGGAGGAAAGGACTTGGGATGCCTGAGAAATCACGAACACCACTGTGGCCCAAGGTTGCCTGAAGTTAGGAGGGTAGGCAGAGGCCACGTTGCGTTGTCTTAATAGGCCATGGTTTGGATTTTGATTGAGGTGCATTGGAACATTTGACAAAGATAGCTTGGACTGCTGTGAGGAGAGTGGAGGTGGCTATGCATTAAGTTGGAAGAGCAGAGACCACTCAAAAGGGTGCCCTGGTCCAAATGAGATGTGGGGACCACCCAGACTACCAGGGTGGTAGTGGAATTGCAAGAATTACATTGTAGATTTTTTTTATTTTTTTTTTATTTTTATTTTTTTTGAGACGGAGTTTCGCTCTTGTTACCCAGGCTGGAGTGCAATGGCGCGATCTCGGCTCACCGCAACCTCCGCCTCCTGGATTCAGGCAATTCTCCTGCCTCAGCCTCCTGAGTAGCTGGGATTACAGGCACGCGCCACCATGCCCAGCTAACTTTTTTGTATTTTTAGTAGAGACGGGGTTTCACCATGTTGACCAGGATGGTCTCGATCTCTTGACCTCGTGATCCACCCGCCTCGGCCTCCCAAAGTGCTGGGATTACAGGCGTGAGCCACCGCGTCCGGCAGTTTTGTTTATTTACTTATTTTTGAGACAGAGTTTCACTCTTGTCGCCTGGGCTGGAGTGTAGTGATGTGATCTCAGCTCACTGCATCCTCTGCCACAGTAGTTCAAGGGATTCTCCTGCCTCAGTCTCCCAAGTACCTGGCACACATGCACCACCACACCTGGCTAATTTTCTTTACTGTGTGTTGTGCGTCTACCTATCTCTGAAATGATTTGGGACACTGGGCAACACCAGTTTTGTCTTTGTATCTCTTCTAATATCCTTGCATGTGGGCACCAGTAAATTTTTACTGGGTGCATTGGTGGGAACAGAACCCCCCCCCAACAGAAGATCTGCCGTGGACTCTGCTTGCCAAGGCAGGGTAGCATAGTGGAGGGAGAGTGGGTTTTAAGCCCTTTGCTTTGCACTGTCTGGCTTAGAAGTGGATCTCTATGTTGATAGAAGAGATCAGCGACTCACTGGGTCCCACTCAGGATACATTAGAATCAGCTGGTTGCTGGTTTAAAATGCAGATTGGTAAAACCAAGGAAATGTGGGGGTTTTTTGTTTTTTGTCTTTTTTGAGACAGGGTTTGGCTCTGTCATCCAGGCTGGAGTGCAGTGGTGCGATCTTGGCTGACTGCACCCTCCACTTCCCGGCTCAAGCGATCCTCCTACTTCATCCTCCCTAGTAGCTGGGACTACAGGTGTGTGCCACCATGCCCAGTTAAATTTTGTATTTTTATGGAGATGGGGTTTTGCCATATTGCTCAGGCTGGTCTCGAACTCAAATGAACTGCCTGCCTTGGCCTCCCAGAGTACTAGGATTACGGGCATGAATCACTGTGCCTGGTCAGAAATGTGTATTTTTAACATGTTCCCTAGCTTATTCTAATGCATGCTAAAATTGAGAACAGTGAGCTTTCTCAGCCCAAAAACTGTGTTCGCATTTCTTTGCTGGCTTTATGGATTTTCACTAAAAATCCAAAAAAAAAAAAAAATTTAGCTGGGCATGGTGGCGCGTGCCTGTAATCCCAGCTACTCAGGAGGCTGAGGCAGGAGAATTGCCTGAACCCAGGAGGCGGAGGTTGCGGTGAGCCGAGATCGCGCCATTGCACTCCAGCCTGGGTAACAAGAGCTGGCTTTATGTTTTACGTTCTTAACCCCTTTAACTTTTCTTTAAACAGAGAATTGTTTTTTTCCTTGGAGACAGAGTTTTACTTTTGTCACCCAGGCTGGAGTGTAGTGGTGCGATCTTGACTTAATGCTACCTCCGCCCTCCTGGGTTCAAGCAATTCTCCTGCCTCAGGCTCCTGAGTAACTGGGATTACAGGTGCCTGCCACCACACCTAGCTAATTTTTGTGGTTTTGGTAGAGAGAAGGTTTCACCATGTTGGCCAGGGTGGTCTTAAACTCCTGACTTCAGGTGATCTGCCCACCTCTGCCTCCCAAAGTGCTGGGATTACAGGCGTGAGCCACCACACCCGGCTGAGAATCTTTTTTTTAAAAAAAGAAAAAACAGTAATATCTAAGACTGAAGCCCACACCTTTCCTCTGCTCCTTTAGAAGAAAATTGGGCTTTGTATTTGAAGGGATCTTTTTTGGTTCTGCTTCATTTAATTAAAACAAAAAAATTTTTTTTTTTTTTTTTTTTTCGGTTTTGCAGTCCCATGAGCGTGTAAGCAAGCGTCTACATCAGAGATTCCAGGCCTGGGTAGATAAATGGACCAAGGAGCATGTGCCCCGTGAAATGGCAGCAGAAACCAGCAAGTGGCTCATGGGTGAGGGGCTGGAGGGCCTGGTGCCCTGTACCACCACCTGTGATACAGAGACCCTGCATTTTGTGAGCATTAACAAGTATCGTGTTAAATACGGCACAGTATTCAAAGCCCCTTAACTGCAAAGCCGGAGCAGATAACTTGGGGTGTGTGTGTGTGTGTGTGTGGGCCTGCCTATGCACTCACACACTGAAGAAACAAGGAAGATGCCTTTCAAGCCTCACTGGGCCTCTCTGGGACATGGCCACGTGACCTGTGTGTGGCTGGTGCAGCCTGGCGCCAAGTGGGCTACTTTAGGAACATGAATACCTTACAAAGCTGAAGCTGGAACTTTTCCCAAAGGGTTTTTGGTATAGCCTGCCTTGGAGGGGAAGGAAGTTCATGCAAGCAAGAACATGCCGTTTGCTTGCACACACCAGCAGAGCTAAGACTGGAGTCTCCTGTGGCCTAACTTTCAATGAGGGAACCGGATGCTGTTCACACTTTGACTGCTTGGAGATGCATTTACAAAACAAGCTGGGGAACGATTTAATACTCCGATGGATTGGAACTACGATGGTCACTGCTCCTCCTCTCCCCTCCCCACAAAAGGAAAAAAAAAACTGGATTTTTTTTTTTTTTTTTTTTTTTTTTTTCTGGTCACTTGAGCACATCTAAGATCACCCATTAGGTTTTATCTGGGACCTGCAGTTTGGCTTTGGGATAGATCATCTTGTGGATTTTATTCCTGACGAGTCCCTTGCTGCCTCCCTTTTTCTCTCCTCTGGTTCTCAGCCTCAAGAAGTTCAGATCCGTCTTCCTTTTTAGCTCCCGTGGAACTGTTTTGTATCTGCCTCTTTACTAGTCTGCCCCAGTGCATCCGCCAGCTCCACTCTGTGACACACACGCGCACACACACGATTTTAACTTGTTTTTTGTACATAATGTACATACTGTCAATTTTTTATTAAAAGAAATATGCTTTGATGTGCTAGCATAACTGCTCTAGCTTCTTGTGTACCATAGTACTATGTGGCTTCAGATTTAGTACCTATGAACAGATGTACAAGACATTTATTACACTTTTTACCAAAGGGAGTTACCATTGTAGTACTTTTGTGTAAAACTTGTCTTCCCCTTTGCCCCCGACTTTTTTTTTTTTTTTTTTTTTTTTTTTTTTTTGTAAATAAATAAAGCTTGGTTCTTACTTTAAGGAATAAACTCTCAACCCATGTCCCTTGTCCTCACCAGAGAATATTGTGAAGCAGGGATTTTGGCTTCAGTTCCTTATCCAGGGTACAAACAGGATTTGCTTTAAATACTTGTTACTTGCACTCGTTCTCAAATCAAAATATTCCAAAATCTTAGAATATTTCAGTCTTTTAGTGTATTTTTTTCCCCTTGTTCAACTATCTGAAAATATTTTATATTTGGGTAAGTTGTCAAGCTGTGTAGTTTGTATTTCTATATATTTTTTCTTAACATTGGTGATGGATGGGGGTGAGCAACTTAAATACCAAACCAGTATTTGGAAAAGTGTATAAAGCATGTGGTATACCTTATAAATGGGGTTGGGAGGGAGAGAATTTGAAATGGGATACCTATTTTTTTAATGACATAAATTTAAACTAGCAGACATTTAAACATGAATGATTAGGATTTTTCTATGTGGTTAAACTGGACTTTGTGAACAAAGACCAACTAAGCCCCTCCCAGTACTCTGGTCAATTTTTCTTCAGCAACCATTATGCAAGTCTCAGTTGTAACCAGCAGTGTGTCGGGTGTTTTATGTTTGCTTTTTAGTTAAAAATCTCCAACACCGCCACCAGAAAGAAAAACACTTTTTTTTGGCTCCTGAATTTTCAAAACGCATGGGAGACCGCTCTGATTTTAGGCTTTTATTATTGTTTAAAGACAAAGTCTTACTTTATCACTCATACTGGAATGCAGTGGCACAATCATAGCTCACTGCAGGCTTGACCTCCCAGGCTCAAGCAGATCCTCCCACCTCAGCCCCTTGAGTAGCTGCATGCCACCATGCCCGGCCAATTTTTTAGCTTTACGTAGAGACAAGGTCTTGCTATGCTGCCCAGGCTGGTCTCAAACTCCTGGCCTCAAGCCATCCTGCCACCTCAGCCTCCCAAAGGTCTGGGATTACAGGCGTGAACCACCAGACCTAACCTGATTTTAGGCTTTTTTGTATTGAGGAGCGGAGACTGTGAGCCAAAGTGTAGGGTGCTGGGGCAGTGACACCTGTCTGCAGGTCAGGATAGGAATTCAAGGCCAGTTCAAGAGAAAGTCCCAAACCACCAGTGCAGCCAACAGAAGAGGAAGTTTTACTTAGTACAGCCTGAGATTTTCAGAAGCAGCATTTTTATTCCTCCTGCTGTCTGACATCTGAGCTCCAAGCTCTAAACCCAATCTGTATTATATGCAGCAGAAGGTTATCTTTATTTTAAATTACGTTTGATATTCTGTACTTAAGTCACCTTTCCGTGTGATTTGCATTTGAAATGTTGTAAATTTGGTCAGTATTTCCATTAAAATATCAGGGCTAATCTTGTGTATTTTTTTTTTTCTTCCTAATGATTTTATAGACAAAGACTCGGCAACCCCCGTAGAAAAAAAAAAAAATAAAGCTGCAGTAGAGTACTAGGGATGAGAATGAAACTGGAGGTCTGTTTCTGCTGTTACGGCTTCCCGGACTCTACAGTCCTGTATGGTGAAATACATTTTTCTGTTGTGATCAGCAATACCATGACTGTTTTGACATCTTAAACTCGTTTCCGAGTTTCTGGTGATGTGCAATGTATACTGATAGACATTGAGTAAAGCATGTAATCCTAGAAGTCGTGGTCACTTGGGCGTAAAGCTCTACCTTCCTGCTAACACCCTGACCTCCGTCCGGTATGAAAACACCCATTCTAGGCAGTCTGGCTCTCCACGTGAAGCCACCACCAGTTTCCGTGTTAACCGACAGCCAGAGGCAGAGGTCTCCCGGTTGCTGCTTCTGAGGCTGCCGAAGGGCCTCAGTTCTGTCCCGACACCTTTGAGAGTTCTAATAATCAGATTTCCCATTTTATTTTGAGATTTGCCCTGCAGCCCACTAGCTCGGGCGGCATAGGAGAGCCTCGAAAACGCAGTTTATAGCTTCCAACTCGGTTCAAGGTTCAGACGGCGGCACCCGGGCTTCCGAGATCACTGGTGTTCCACGAAAAGCTGCCCGGGACTGGAAGGCGCCCTCCGGACGCCGGAACCTTAGGCTTCCTGCCGTGGAGCGAAACGGCAGCACCAGAGGCCTTCCGGAAAGAGGAGCGAGAGCTCGGCGACGGCGATGGCAGCGGCGCCGGCTCTGAAGCACTGGCGCGCCACGCTGGAGCGGGTGGAGAAGTTCGTGTCGCCGCTCTACTTCACCGACTGTAACCTCCGCGGCAGGTGTGGTCCCGGGTCCCGGCCGCGGGCCGGCCGCATCCGTGCGCCTCAGCCTTTATTTCCGGGGGGAAACCCAAACTGCAGCCACCCGGGCCGGGGGACGAAGTGCCCGCTGCAGACAAGACGGGCCAGGGAGGAGGGGTAGGGCGTGGAGTGTGCCGTGGTCCGGCCAGGCAGCCCTCCTGGTGGAGGATCCAGGGAAAGCGCGGCCCCACCGGCCAGCTGGCCCCTGTCGGAAACGGAGCGGCCTCCGGCATGCGCCCACCGGTCGGTCCCACGCAGGCTTTTTGGGGCCAGCTGCCCCGTGGCCGCCCTTTCAAGCTTCCTGACAGCGGAGAGACTTCCCTACCAGGAGGCAGTCCAGCAGGCCTTCCGCCCGGCGCAGGTCGGCGACAGCTTCGGACCCACGTAGGTGACACCCAGTGGGTGGGCGGGGCCGGTGGGCCCGAGGCACGTCCCAGCCCAGCTCCTGGCCACGCCTTCGTTGTCCGCCCTCTGCCCTAGACAACTACGTGGGACTGAGCAGCACCCTTTGCTGGGAACAGCTCCCTGGTTCCTCAGCCTTCAGGGGAGGGTGTCATCCCCGCGTAGCCGCTTCTGAGCACCCTAACGGACCTCTGATAACCTCTGCCTCTTTCCTTTATCTTGCTGCTCACCTTGTTGCTCCTTTCTTGTGGCTCAAAGCTGAGTACCTTGTGACGCTGCAGATGCTTGGAGAGCCTGAGGCCCCTGCCAACGCTTTATCCAAGGTGTTGGATGTCAGGAGAGGGCTTCTACCTCTAGGCCGACCGCAACAGCTCTCTTGCAGATGGTGGACCTGCTGGTTCCGGGTGGAGCTGACCATCCCAGAGGCATGGGTGGGCCAGGAAGTTCACCTTCGCTGGGAAAGCGATGGAGAAGGTCTGGTGTGGCGTGATGGGGAGCCTGTCCAGGTGAGGAGCCCTACCGTACGGCCAGGTATGGCCATATTTCAGCCCTGAAATGACCACAGCCCTTCTCCTGTAGACGCTGGAGAAGCCACAGCTAAGTGGCATCACAGGGTGGAATCACAGTTTCAGGACTAGGGAAATTGCCATTTTGGCATCTGTGTAATTGGGCCTTAGTCTTTGTTATATGTAATACAAACTTATAGGCAAACACTTCAAACAGTTCTAGATAAAGTAATGGATCGTCCCCCATCACCCATCCCATTCCCCAGCTATAACCAATGTTAAGTGTCTTGTTCATTCTCCAGCCTCATCAGGTTTAGTCCTTATACTCCTATGTGGTAGGTCTTTATACTCATTTACAGATTAAGATACTGAGATGTGTAGAGGTTAGTTCACTCACTCAGGTTCACACAGCTTCCATTTCAAATCGGATTGACTCTCAGTCTGGGGTCAAGACTGTTTCTCCTTTTCTCCCTCCCTTTACTGGCTCAGCAAATATCCCCTGGTGTCCATTCTGGGCCAGACCCTTAAGCTCTAGGGTATAGAAGGGAATGCGGCAAACCTGCTCCTGGCTTCATAGAGTTTCTTTTCAGATATTTATTTAGGGGTGCAGAGGCCACCAGAAACCACACTCAGGCCACCTAACCCTTTCTCAGTACCCTTCCCCTAAGACCATGGGCTTTGCCACTAGGAAACAGGGGCTATTTGGTGGTCATGGTGCCAGCTGCCGTGGGAGTTGGGGCATCTGCCAGGGGTCCCTGATCTGCCAATCTTGACCCTGCTTGACAGGAAGGAACCAGAGCTGGGGACCAGTGGGGACCAGAACACTTTACCTGAGCTGTCCAAAGGCTTCAAGCCTTATCTCTTTCACTCCCCTTCCTACTAGGGTTTAACCAAAGAGGGTGAGAAGACCAGCTATGTCGTGACTGACCGGCTGGGGGAAGGAGACCCCCGAAGGTGAGTCCCTGTGCTCTGGTTAACCAGTGCTGTCAGGGAGGGAGTACCAGTGAGTGAGGAGTAGCTGAGGCCCGGAGTGATCTCAGAAGTACCCCTCTGCTCCAGCACAGTCATCCTTACATCTCATCACTTGCTTTTAGAAAGCATGATTTTTTCCTAACCATAAAAATAATGGGCTGGGTGCAGTGACCCACACTACCTGGGAGGCTGAGGTGGGAGGGTCACCTGAGCCCAGGAGGTCAGGGCTACAGTGAACCATGATCACACCACTGCACTACAGCCTGGGTGACAGAGTGAGACGTTGTCTCAAAAATAATAATAATGTTTGCCTTCTTGTGGTAAATACAGGAAACCACAAAGAAGCAAACTGCTACCGTTACTCCACTCCCTAGGATAGAGATGGCCATTACTAACATCTCAGCATTCATGTTCTTCTTTTTAGAAACGAAGCCTCCCTCTGTCACCGAGGCTGGAGTGCAGTGGTTCAATATTGGCTCACTGCAACTTCTGCCTCCCAGGTTCAAGCGATTCTCATGCCTCAGTCTCCTGAGTAGCTGGGATTACAGGTGTGCGCCACCACGCCCAGCTAGTTTTTGAATTTTTATTAGAGACGAGGTTTCACCGTGTTGGCCAGGCTGGTCTCAAACTCTTGACCTCAGGTAATCTGCCCGCCTCAACTTCCCAAAGTGCTGAATTACATGTGTGAGCCACCACGCCTGGCCCAGTATTCATGTTCTTGGTGTATCTTTTCGGCATAGTTTTTATTCGTTCAGATTCTGTTTCCTGTTGTATCCTGAGTTCTTACGTTCCACATCATAACGTGGACGTTGGATGACACCATTAAAAACACTTCTTAGAGGCCAGGCGCGGTGGCTCAAGCCTGTAATCCCAGCACTTTG